TCTAGTGTCTAGTGCCTTATTTGAGAGACACTATATTCTAGGATATGGATTTGCCTCCAAGTTTGATCTAAGGCAGCAGTCCCCAACCTTTTTGGCACCAGGGGCCAGTTTCATGGAAGACAATTTTTCCATGGATGGTGTGGTGGTGGTGGTGGGGGATAATTTCAGGATGACTCAAGCATATTGCATTTATTGTGCACTTTATATCTATTATTATTACATTGCAATATATAATGAAATAACTATGCAACTCACCATAATGCAGAATCTAATGCCACCGCTAATTTGACAGGAGGCGGAGCGCAGGCGGTGATGCGAGTGATGGGGAGCGCCTGTAAATAAGACGAAGCTAAACACACTCACCTCCCCCTGCCTCCCCCCCCAACACCCCGCTGTGTGGCTGGATTTCTGACAGGCCAGTCCATGGCCTGGAGGTTGGGGGCCGCCAATCTAAGGCACTTGGCTTAAGTGGAGTCTAACCACTACTTTAAGGTAGTTAATTCCAGGAATTTTCAAGATGGCATAAGAAAAAAAAAGTTTAAAGAGCTCATGCAGAACATTCAACTGGAAGCAGAGCATTGTACTGAGTTTATTTTTGAGATAGAAGCCATATAACACCTTCTCAAACCACCAGGTTTTGGGGCTGCTGGCTTTAGTTCAGACTCCCTCTGCCAAGTCTCTCTTTCATGAGTTAGCTGGGCTCCTCGGGCTGCCCAGTGGGTGATACTCCTCCCCACTAGGAACACAACAGGCCTTTCTTTGGAGTCGGAGCTCAGTAAGCTGGTGCCTGTATTCTGGGCCAAAACCATCACAGAGCTGCCTGAGTCCGGTCTACACGCCATGTGTTTGAGGAAGAATCATGCCTGGCTGCGGCTCCTGAAAAAACAAGGTTTGCCCCCTACAGAGCAGATCACCACCTTCTGACTTTCCTCCTATGGGATGCAGTTCATGAAAGCAGAGTCTCATTCAGGGTTGTTATTTTTTCCTTCTAGTTTAGAAATGGGAAAGGAAGGAGACAGTGTTTTCTTGGTATACCAGAAATCCCAGCCTTCAGGATACAAGGGTGTACTGTCTATGACTGAGGAATGGCCAGGTCTGGGGGGAGAGAAGGACAGAGGGCCAGAGGGAGCAGGAGACAGACACAGCTGGGCTAGCACAGTTGTGAGAGAAAGAGAGAGAGAGTGTGTGTGTGTGTCAAGGCCATGAGAATCTGTAGCTCAGCGATTCAAGGATGAGACAGCTGCTTTAGAGTGGCAAAGGGGCCATTTCCTGCTTTTATACTAATTTGTTCTTTTGGAGCTTTTTAAAGCCATTTTTCTTCACCTAAAAACCCTGTTGTTTATTATTTTCACTTTTAGCTTCTCAGTTACCTCTGAGGTATGAAGAGTATCTTTATCTTATAATCAGAAATCACAGAGTGAAATATTAACTGCCCTGCCCTAAGTAGTGGCTGACCTTCGTCCTTCGTGTCTCAGCCCACTCAGACCAGCCGCTCTTCTACCCAGACTGACTTTGGAACATTCGCTTTGGACTAGGGGCAGGAAAAGATTTCCTTCTATCTTTAAACTTCATCCTCAGTAGTGCCTGAGACTGTTTGCATCTTCAGGGTCACTGCTGTCCTCTGTGGCACACCAGGGTTGTGGCGCTGTTTCCTCCATACCCACCCTGCTGTGCTGGACTCTTCTAACCCCGAGGTGTCACCTTCTGCAGAATCCATAACCTGTCCCATCTCAGGTCGGCACAGTTCTTTCAGTGTGAAAATGGATTTCTTGATGACTATCCAGGGATCAAATTAGAGACGTGGCTCAGAGTCTGACAACCCTACAGACCCAGCAGAAAGCCACTGGCATGCCCGGTGAGACGCAGGATGTAACTAGGGCCCAAGAAACACAAGTGCTGATGGTGCAGACCCTTTTCATCCTAAGTGGGCAGACCAGGCCCTGCACAGATCTTTCCCAGAGGAGCCCAGACCTCTGTGGATCCTTGAAGACTTTTGCCCCAAACCACAGTCCAGGTGCAGCTGTGACTGAAGTCACCCAGAGAGATGGCTAGGCCAGCCAGCCTCTCCTGATTCCTCAGTGATCCCTGTAGCATCTGGGTCAATGTGCTATGCTCACAGGTGAAGAGGCCTCACTCACCCCCAGGTCACTATGGAAGACCCCAATGAGTACATGGAGTCAGTTGCATCATTTTCCTAACATCTTTACTTTTTAAGCAGTTCCAGGCTGAAGCCGTCCAGGCCTGGGAATGTTTCTCCCTCCTTAGGCTTAGCCTGACCACAAAAGGAAACCTAGTGCTCCTGGCTGACTCAAAAAGTGTCTTTTTGAGAAGAGAATGCAAGCCCTTTCCCAAAAGGTGGCTTTGGCCATTGACAATTATTCTTGAATAGCAGCATAACTCAGACTAGTAAAAAACTCAGTTATTGTGTGAGGATGAGACAAGAAGTACTACTGTTAGACTAAAAGTCACTTTTGAATCCATTCATATGGCTGCTGAGTGCCAAAGGAGGGGCACAGATCTAATCACTCTAGGGGAGAAATGATGGCCATCTGGCGTGGTCAGGACCAACTCCAAATAGCAGGTTTAATTAGAGTGAAGTCTCAAGGCAGGGGTAGATGGTAGAATGGGAGTGGGAGGGCATCCCCGGAGAGTGATCAGGATGAGCAGGAGGTGGCAAGCAGAGAACCCAGCAAGCAGTGAGCAGCCTGCACCGGCTGGAGCCAAGGATTTAGATGCATAAGGCCAGGTTGGGGCCAGATTGTATAGGGCTTTAAATGTCAGGCTAAGGAATTTATCAGGGGGATGAAATGATCAAACAGGTGTTTTAGGAAGATGAATTTGAAGAGAATGTACAGAATGAATTGGAAAATCTGGAAGCATGGCAACAATTAGGAGGCTGTGAGATTAATTAGGCTGTTGCAGTAGTCCTGTGTGAGTTGATAAGGGTGTAAATGAGCATAGTGGTGGCAGAAATGGAAAGGGACAGCTGCAAGAGACATTGTTAAGAAAGAATGGATGAGGTTTGCTGCCTGATTGGATTGGGGACCCAGGGAGCTCCAGGAATCAAAGATGACACCAGAGTTTTGAGTGTGGGCAACTGCTAGTACAATGAACAGAAAAAAGGATGTAAGAAGAGGGAGCAGACTTTAGTAAATGTGAATTCAGTTCCAGATACAGAGTCTGCAGGATATCCAAGTGGAAATGTCTGACAGGTAATTGGAAATGTAACACTACAGCTCGAGAGAGACATTATGTTTGGTGATGAATTTGGGAATCAAAGGCAGAGAGGTGACAAACAAAGTTGTGGAATGAATGAGATCTCTAAGGAAAGGCAAATACAGTGAAATAGAGGACTAAAGACTGACCTTTGAGGAATGTCCATATTTAAAGTATTTATATTGCAAAGCTAAGTCTAGAAAACACCACTCTACATGCTGCATGTCTTTCCTGTTAAAATATCAGCTTAAAGTATTTATTAGTTTGAGAAAGCCAAACAACACAGCATTTTTATGACTCAGTGGGAACTAAATTATAAACACTTAAGTAGGCCTTTAAAAGAAATGTGGCTTAAGTAAAGGCTGATATTTACAAAGGAAGAAAAGGATAAATGAGACAGTGAATGTAATCTAGAAGACTGGTGGATCTGATCCCATAAGAAGTCAAGCAATGAGAAGAAAAACTTGTGACATATATCCTATAAATAACATTTGATTAGAGATATTTACTCATTTTAACACAAGGACCAAAAAATTTGCCTTATTTGCAGTGCACTGTTCTCCTGAAGGGTGAATTCAAACTAATTCACCAAAGTATTTTTTAATAAAAGCTACATTTAAATAGAAACTGGCTCAAACATTCAGGAAGAAAAGCTAATATAGGAAAGCAACCCAGAGTACAGTAATCAATACTAGACACTAGCATGCAAACAAAATATCTTTTCTTTTTCAGTAGGTACCTCTAGTCTTTTTACATATATATATTTACTGTATATTGTATTTTTTGATAGTAACCTTAAAAATGTCATAGCTTTGAATTTTTAGACTAAATGCTGTCTTAAGTCCTATAAAGAAAAAAAGACCTTTTATCTTATGTATTGTTAAAATTTTTCTCCATAATGCTTTTAATAAAGTATATGCAATTGTACAGTATAACAGTATAGCAATTATTATTCCATGACATCTTCAATAACTTTTGAAATAACAGACTTAAATTTTGACATGTTCTTATGTTTAACATGTTTGATATTTTCTTCCCAAAATATCATAGCAAATATATTGAGCATATACCAAAAGCAGTTAAAAGATAAGAAATTCCTTTCCTTTGGAGATCAACTTTTAAAAACAGGAACAACTTTTTGAAAGGTGAATTTATAAATCATACAAAATTGGATGCATATATAACACTGACATGCAATTTTTCAAGACACTGGTTTTAGCTGTTCCCAGGTTTGTGTGAGGTGACAAAAGCAGTCTCTAGTATGTCGACCAAGAAAACATGCAATGGTTGGCTACTACACATATGTACAGAAAATAAATACGGAGAGTCAAGCAAAACTTACAAATTTGTTAACTTCACACTATGCAGATATTTTGAGCATATCTAAAAAATTTAAACACAGGATATCACTATGATCTTATAGCGAACTTTAAAAATAACACAATATTATGGAATAGTGGAAACTGAGTTGCTAAAGCTGAAACAGTAAACTGTTCTCTTGACATCCTCAGACTCTTAACTAAAACCCAAACAGATTAATTCTCACAGCTAAATTTACTCCAAGAGTTGACTTCTTAAATGCCAACACTGTCAAACTTCTTTTAGTAACATTTTAAAACATACATGAACTTAAAACATTACTTAGGAGTTAATAAAATTTCTTTGGACTTTGGGCTGACTTGCAGAACACTGGGGAAATAGATTTAAAAAAACTAAATTAGTGATTTTCTTTGTTTCTAAGTACTTACAATACTAAATAACATGACTGAAAAAACACTTTTTGGTGGTGGAAGAGTCAGGTGGGTGACTCTTCTTTGAGGGTTACAATGAAAAAGGACTCACATTTAATTAAGGAGGAATGGCACTGATTTGGGCCAATAAAAACCTGAAGTCAACTGAAATTTCTAAAATGTGATGTAAAACTGAAGATAATATCTCTTGGTGTAGAAGATACAGGACATTTTCACAAGGACGTTTCATAATAGTTAATTTTTTGTTAAATCTAAAGGGTTTGTAGCATATACACATGCGTATCTTATTTCATAGAAATAAGAAGAGGCAGTGACTCAGAGATGGTTAGATTCAACAACTTCTGGTTCAGTGAAATAGAAGTCCAAATGTTTGGAATTAAATGATCCCCTACTCGCCAAAAATCCACAAAATATTCACACCGGATAGACCAAGATTAACTCTCCTATAAAGAAGGGAGGAAAAAAAAGTTTTAGTAGAATTGCTTTCCAAGCATTTTAAGTCTTTTTCCAATAACTGAAACAAGAATCTTTATAAAAGTAATACATGTTTAACTGATGACATTTAATGTGATTCTGTAATGAATTAAGTTATACACAGTTTAACAGGTCACTCTAGTAACAGTAATTACTTTCTTAACTATGCTTAAAACCCAAATTTAGAATAAATAGATTTATGAAGTGTTGAAAATTAATTTTCCAGTAAACTTCAAAAACTACTACACTAGGTAATAGAGAGAGCTAATGAAATAGTTTTAGCAAGTAAGATTCAAAGAGTCAATTAAATTTAAAAAATGAAAGATACAGAGATGCTAGGCCTCTTAGAGAACTACACCTACTTGATTTGAATTAGGCACTTACAAACTATTAGGGATGCTTTAATGAGTTTGCATATATTAATACATCTTAAACTAAACCATATTGTATATAGCAACAAAAAAATTCTATTTCTCCTCCAGAGACTAATATTTTGTATTCAAAATAAACTATACTTAAAATCTAAGGGAGGCCGGGCGCCGTGGCTCACGCCTGTAATCCTAGCTCTCTGGGAGGCCGAGGCGGGCGGATTGCTCAAGGTCAGGAGTTCGAAACCAGCCTGAGCAAGAGTGAGACCCCGTCTCTACTATAAACAGAAAGAAATTAATTGGCCAACTAATATATATAGAAAAAATTAGCCGGGCATGGTGGTGCATGCCTGTAGTCCCAGCTACTCGGGAGGCTGAGGCAGCAGAATCGCTTGAGCCCAGGAGTTTGAGGTTGCTGTGAGCTAGGCTGACGCCACGGCACTCACTCTAGCCTGGGTAACAAAGTGAGACTCTAAAAAAAAAAAAAAAAAAAAATCTAAGGGAAAGAGAAGAGGGCTATAAGAGAGAGTAGTTACCCATCTAGCAAAATGAGAAATTGACAATGTCCAAAACTGAAGAATCAAGGAACAGCTGCGTATCTCATTATTTGGAACTATAAGACTAACATCAAAAGAAAGAGCTAAAAAAGTTTCAAGTGGCAGCTTTTGGGATGTGTACAGGGAACTGCTTATTTCTGTCATAAACTATTAGCTCTATATAACTTTTAAAATTATTATAATGTATTAACCTTGATAAGAAATTAAAAACAATTACCAAAAATGCCCTTCGAAACAGGTAATTTCTATCAACAGTATTTTCCATTTCCTCATACCCTAACCAACACTGCAAAATGATAAATCTCAGTTTGCTAGAAAAAAAATGCTGTTTTAATTTTGGATTGTTTATGAGGATAAGCATTTTTCTGTTTATTAGCTGTTTGTATACTTTTCTGTGAAAAAGTCTTTCACATCTTTGCCCACTTTTCTATATTTTTCTTTTCTAATTAATTTATGACTTCTTTGTATATGACTAATATTAGCTAGGTCTGCAATATGTTGCAGTATAATGCTTTGTCTCAGTTTATCATTTAAATTTAAATTTTATGGTGTCTTTTGCTAAACAGAACATTTAGATCACCATGCAGTCAATTCTGCCCATATTTTTTTTTCCCTTTTGGAAGTTACACTTGCATCTAATTCTAGTAACTGCATAAATACCTGGCAATTGGTAATGTACTGATAATATATTTGGATCAATCTGCAATTTTATGGTCATGATTCCAAATGGACTATACCTGAGCCACTCTCTTATTTCCTTTAAGTTATGGGATAGTTTTTAACTATTAGATATATTAAAAAGATTCACCAGTCATATTACAAAGGTTAATAATTTCAAAGTTTTTCCTCCTTGGTTTAAAAAAAAATCCAATAAAAAAAAACTCATTAGTTTTAGTCTAAAATGCTTAATTTTTCATATATAAGTTGCTCATTAAGAAGAGATAAGCACTTCAAAAATTATATCCATCCTTGGCGTCTGAGTAAAATTATGCCCGACTAAGCACTTTTGAAGTTTTTTCATTTTTATGCACATGACAAATTGTAAATGGCACTCAACACAAACTTCATGCTATCATAACAAATCATTTTATACATCAAAATATCAATTTGGATTTATAGAGGAAAAGATAAATTTTCAATTAAAACCAAAAATTCATTGTTTATTTATATTATACAAGTTGAGCATCTGTAACCCAAAATGTTCCAAATCCAAAACATTTTAAGTGCCAACATGATACTCAAACTCAAAGGAAATGCTCATTAGGGCATTTTAGATTTCCAGATTAGGGGTGCTCAACCAGTAAGTATTGCAAATTTTCCAAAATCCAAAAAAATCAGAAATCCAAAATATTTCTGGTCCCAAGCATTCCAGGTAAGTGATATTCAACCTGTATTAACAATATATTTATAGCAAATTCCATATTCCATCTAATATATATAGCAACACATTTATAACTAAGTATTTCTAGAAATTTTAGGGAAAAAAAATCTGTATATACTGACATGGAAAAATGTGCAAAATATACCATGAGATTAAAAAAATCTCACTACCTAGAGTAGTATGTTTGGTACTATAAATTTTTAAACCAAATCAAAATCAACTTATTTCCAGCAAGCAGTCTGGAGACATAAACCTGAAACTGTTAACACTGGGTGTCCTGAGGGAGTTGGGATTGAGAGAGGCTGATCAGAGAGAAACTTTCATGTTCTAGATTACATATTGCTGTGTCATTTAAATATTTCTCTACTGAGCATGCATTATTTTCATAATTTAAAAATAAAGGAAAAAGTACATTAGTACCTCACAAAAGTGAGTTTCCTCTTAAATCTTTCTTACATTAAAAACTATATGATAAAAGAAGCTGATAAATATTTGTGTTTGTTTACAACTTTTTGTTCATGTTTGTTTTAATCTTTGCATGTAATATATTTAAGGACAGAAGCTTTGCTTTCTCTAGAGCAGTGCTGTCCAATAGAAATACAATAGAATCACAAATGCAAGTCACATACATAATTTAAATTTTCTAACAGACACCAAAAAAAGCAAAAATAGGCAAAATTAATTTTAAGAATATATTTCATTTAACCTAAAACATCCCAAATAGTATTTTGGGCCAGGCACGGTGGCTTCATGCCTGTAATCCTAGCACTCTGGGAGGCTGAGGCGGGTGGACTGCTCGAGGTCAAGAGTTCGAAACCAGCCTGAGCAAGAGCAAGACCCCGTCTCTACTATAAATAGAAAGAAATTAATTGGCCAATTAATATATATATAGAAAAAATTGGCCAGGCATGGTGGCGCATGCCTGTAGTCCCAGCTACTTGGGAGGCTGAGGCAGCAGAATGTTTGAGCCCAGGAGTTTGAGGTTGCTGTGAGCTAGGCTGATGCCATGGCACTCACTCTAGCCTGGGTGACAAAGCGAGACTCTGTCTCAAAAAACAAAACAAAACAAAAATAGTATTTTGGTATGTAATCAATATGCAAAATTATTAAGGAGATATTTTACATTTTGTATATGACATCTTTGAAATCTGGTAGGTATTTTACTCTTTAGTCCATCTCAATTTGGACTAGTCATGTTTCATATGCTCAATGCCACATGTAGCTGGTGGCTACTGTGCTGGACAGCACAACTGTAGAACACATATAACTTCCAAATTACACAGAAGATACCTAAACAAACCTTGAAAGAGGCATGCATATCAGAAGAGGAATTGACCACAGGTCCCTTCTCCTCCAAGCCCTTCCCTCTACATTTTGTTAGGCTTAGGTTACTTAGTATGGCAGAGTGGAACCCAGAAGCCAAGTCTGCAGACTCCTAGACCTGGCATTACCAGATTTCCCTAGCTTCATTTGGAGCCTACTTATTTCAAACGTTATTTGATACACTAAAATTTAATCAAATGTCTACACACAATTTTGAATTTGTTGGAATATGTGAGCTTCATTACTAAGTATGCAAACCATTTCAACTGATTATTTTTCCATCCTAGTTAACAACATTATAGAATGAGTACTGACTCCATCTCTCTCAAGTATAAACATTTTGCAGAATGCTTTGTGTCTGAAATGGAATGGCTTGAAAAAACCCAATGATGTGGTTTATTTACCTTTTACCAATAGGGAAATGGAGGTTCTGAGGAATTGATGGACTTGCCCAAGAGAGCAAAGCTAGTAGCGACAGAGCCAAGCTATTTTAATACCAGAAGCCGTATCTATTGTTGTTCAGTCATAAATCTTTTCAGTTACATGCTGCCGCCTTCTGCAGAATCTTAACATAATATCAGTTAATAAATTAAGTACTTTGTTTTTAAAGCATAAATACTTACCCAAGCATTCCTGACTCTTTGGTCTTTATGATATAGAGAAACATTAACAATGTATGAAACATATTATTTCTGCCCTGGAACAAAGACCAAAAAGATAAGATTTAAACCAAACCAAAAAGACTCAATCTGGTACGTATAGTAAGTGCAGATCCTATTAATTAATATTCTACTAAATCATAATTCCATGTAATTCAAACATTCATTTATTCACTCAACAAGTGCCTATTGTCAATACTTTGTGCCAGGAAGTAGGAATACTATGGTGAATAAAACAGAAAGGATACATGTAATCAAGGAGCTTAAAGGCTAGTAACAAAGGCAGACAGTAAACTAAGAATTAAAACAAAGTCTGAAGAATACTGCAAGATGAGAAGTGGATGCCACTGGAACCTATGAAGGTACAGCATCTAACCTAGCAGACTGGTGAGGCAGGAGACATCTCCCTGATGGAAAGATTTATAAGTTGAGACCTGAAAGATTAGTCCAGAAGAGAGCTATTCTGAGGTTGGTATCCCTGTACACTACACATAAAAAATGCTCTATCTCTAAAACTGAAAGCATACACAAGAGTGTTGGGATTAAAAAAGCTTTTAGCCATACTTCAAAATAACATTATAGTACACCTTATTATATAAGTAACGTTAGACATAAATTTATTTTATCTATAAGGGACTACTAGGCAGTGTTTCGCTAACTCTAAAATCAAACTAATATATAATTGTTGGTCTGTAAAAACAACTCCTAGTTTGTATTTTCAATTTACTGATTGACTTTTACCTGTTTACTCTGACTTAGTATGTTTTCATTCAAAATCTGAGAATAAACAGAAAAAACTAGCCAATGCAGTGGCATGTGCCTGTAGTCCCAGCTACTCAGGAGGCTGAGGCAGGAGGATTGCTTGAGCCCAGGAGTTTGAGGTTGCAATGAGCTAGTGAGCTATGATGACACCACTGCACTCTAGCCTGGGCAACAGAGTGAGACCCTGTCTCCAAAAATAAACAAGCAAACAAAATCTGAGAATGTGTTTTTAAAAGTGTTTCTTTAAAAAAAAAAAAAAAAAAAAAGGGCTGGCATGAATACTAACAGAACTTCAACAGCCAAAAATATTTATATACTTAAAAAGATAAATATTAAATTTGAAAGAAATAAAATTAATATCTTCTCTCAAATATCTGATAGAGAACACAATTATAATTACAGCAAATGTACAATTTCTCAGTAACAATACTAATAACAAAAATAACTGCAAAGGTCATTCACAGAACTGATGTTTGTAATCAAGAGTAAAATACCTGGATGGAAGTGTAAACTGGTATAACAACCTTTTAAATAAAGTAACTGCTATTACATATTTTTTTTTTTTTTTGAGACACAGTCTCACTTTGTTGCCAGGGCTAGAGTGCCATGGTGTCAGCCTAGCTCACAGCAACCTCAAACTCCTGGGCTCAAGTGATCCTCCTGCCTTAGCCTCCCAAGTAGCTGGGACTACAGGCATGCACCACCATGCCTGCCTAATTTTTTTTTATATTTTTAGTTGTCCAACTAATTTCTTTCTATTTTTAGTAGAGATGGGGTCTCACTCTTGCTCAGGCTGGTCTCGAACTCTTGAGTTCAAGCAATCCTCCCACCTCGGCCTCCCAGAGTGCTAGGATTACAGGTGTGAGCCACCGCGCCTGGCCGCTATTATATATATTTAAAAGCCTTAAAAATATTCTGTGACCTAGAATTCTACTTCTGGAATTCTAAAGAAATGATCCAAAATGCAGATAGCTGTATGCATGAATATCCAACATGTTCAATACTAGGAGAAGAGTTGAATAAATTTTGTTATAATCTCTCTTTTTTTTAAGAGACAGAGTCTCACTCTGGTCCAGGCTGGGATGCAGTGGTGTGATCATGGCACACTGCAGCCTTGAACTCCTGGGCTCAAGAGATCCTCCTGCCCCAACCTTTCAAGTAGCTGGAATTATTGGTGCCCACCTCTATGCCCAGCTATGTTATAATCTTATAAGGAAGTTTTTTATAGCCACTAAAAAATATTTTTATGAAGATTATTAATAGTATGGAAAATTATGTATAAAGTTAATTTTTAAATGCAAGATATAAAACTACATAAATAATACAATTGTAGCTCATAAAAAATACACAGAAAGACCAAAATTAAATTTATCAAAAGGCAACATGCCAAAATGAGTGATTTTTCCCCCTATACTTATACTTTCCCAAATTAAGTACATACTACTTTTATAGTTAAAAAAATATATATATAAGAAACACATTTCCCCTAACTTAAAAGGTTTCCTACCTATTCCATAAATAGGAGATTCTAATTTTAAAAACATTATCTAAGCAAGTCATCTATGACATTCTCTAACTTCTATATACAAAAATACCTTTGGAAGATTGTAGACATGACGTTGGTATATCAACTCATAATGGGGAGGGTTGATAGCACTCTGATAAATGCAAAAAACATTCTCATTCGTAACATCTGTAAAGGAAATATGTTATATTAGAAAATCAAACCACCAGAGATATTTCATATGAAAATCTTAACACATTCTTTTAGGAGAGGTTTATACCTGGTTTATTTGGTGTCTGAACAAAGTGCTGAGAAGTAAATGTTTTTCCGTCAGGGTACTTAGGATGTGGAGGTAATCTGGAATCAAGGTATGTGCAAAATACATGCATGATGATCTGAAGATGACGAAATAATTTTTCAAAGTCAGCATGAAAATCTAGCATGGATACAGACCTTTAAAAACATCTGTATTTATAATTATCCCACTTTAAAAAATTTTCTCTAAAGAATTAGCCAAAATGCTTTCAAATGGTTCTAAGATAAAATCTATAGAATGAAAATATAAAAACACATAATTCAGGTAACATGCCTATTTAATCCAAAATTTCTTTCCTATAAACATAAGGAATTCACCAATAGGATCTTTTCCTCTCTTAAATCATAAATGAATTCAGTGTGTTTAAGATATGAGTCTAGGCTTTATTCAAATAATCTACTCAAAATTTACAACAGAAAAATATATTTGCCATCAAATCAGTCTATATTTTGATGGGAAGATTTCCTCTGCAAACTGAAAAAGAAAAAATTTAAATACTGCAGCCTACAAAGTTACCATCATCTATGTGTGGGGGGGTTGGGGGGGAGGCTTAAACATTAGACTACTATTCCCAAAACATTTGATCTTCATTTCTAGATTTTCATAACAATACTAAAAAAGGACATTCCTAGCTTTATGTTATATGGATTATTCACATCCATACAATTAATTCAACAGCAAAACCAAGATAAAACACACATACATTCAATTCTCAGTCTGAATATCAACATTTAAAACTTAATTTCTCCCATAACAGTCACTATAAAAGAAAACAAAGAACATGATTTTGAAAAACTCTTAAGCATGCAAAAACCTTTAAACTCTTTGATCTAATCTAATTCTAGGAATCTAAAAATTCTAGGAATCTTTCTTAAAGTGATAATCCCAAATAAGAAAGCAAAATGCATCATGACCTTGCTTGCCACATCATTTATGATAGGAAAACAAATAAAAATCCCTTCCCTGTCACAAGTTTCTCCAACTTTTCGGTCCAATATAGGAGAATAGTTCAATGACAGTGTATAATAATGAAAAAAATACTTAAACATTACAAAAGTGAAAAAAAAGCAGAATATATAATTTTACATATAGAATAATTATAACTATGATAAAAACATTGAAAAATAGCACCATATACATCTTAAACTGCTAAAAAAAAGAAAAAAAGAAAAACATCACCACCTAAAGAAACAAACAAACAAACAAATACACAAAGATGTTAACAGTGATTGGTTAAAATGCTGTTACTATTATAATTTATTTCTATCTTATTTTCTAAATTATTTTTAATGCCTTTTTTTTTTTTTTTGAGGCAGAGTCTTTCTCTGTTGCCCCAGGTAGAGTGCAGAGGCGTCATCAGAGTTTACTGTAACCTTAAACTCCTGGCCTTAAGCGATCCTCCTGCCTCAGCCGCCTGACTAGCTGGGACTACAAGTGTACACCACCATGCCCAGCTAATTTTTTCTATTTTTGGTGGAGATGGAGTCTTGCTCTTGCTCAGGCTGGTCTTGACTCCCTAATCTCAAGTGATCCTCCCATCTCAACCTCCCAGAGTGCTAGGTGAGCCACCAGGCCCCCCTACAGTGCCTGGCCTTAATACTCATTTTTATAATGAATAAACAACACATAAATCCAATAACAAAAACGTTAAACTAAAAAAACAAAAAATAAATAAATCTAGGCACTTACAGCAGAATCAGTGGGCAGGTCTGTGTCCCACTTTCGTCCTCTGAAGTCTCCACCTCTGTTCCATCGAAATGAGCTCATACAACCTCCCTGAGAAAGTTCTGTGGCAATAAAGGTGACATTTTAAAAAGCTAAGAATATGTAAAAAAGAAAAAAGACCATGTGATTATAGTAAGGGAAGCACATCTTAAAAACCTGATCAAAACACCTAAACCTAAAGAAATACAAGATATAAAAGTTCAAGTTAAATAGCATGAAGAAAGAAATGAGATAAAACCAAAATGTGGGATGATAAAACTACCTTTCTGGGTTCTTAAAAACAGTCACTGGACAATTAAGAAATCTGAATATGGACAGTATATTTGATGGTATTATAGAATTATTATTATTAATGTTTAAGGTGTGATAATTACAGTGTGGTTATGTAGTAGAATGTTCTTATTTTTAGGAAAATGCATGCTGAAAGTAATGATGTCTGCAATGTATTAATACTTTCAAATAGTACAGAAAAAAAGTGTCTGTGTGTGTATATGCAGAGAGAGAGAGAGAGAATAAAAGATGGCAAAATGTTGCTATTCAATCTAAAACACAATACAGGGTCCATTGTATTCTTTTAAACTTTTTTGTATATTTGATATACTACTTCATATATTATTTGTGTATATGTATACATACAGAGAGAGAGACACATACATACATTATTTTTAGATGTACAGATACCCTGTTATTTATGGGGCACCTTGACAAAAAACTCAAAAGTTGAATTTACAGGAAATACAGAGAACATATAGGTCATGTAAAACTACACTATGGAGATGGATTCACCAAAACCCACACCGTATAAAATTCCATAGACAAACAATCCAGTTCTTATAACAAATAAGTGGCAAAGGAAAAAAATGGGATGGACGGGAAGCCAATAGCCTAAAAGAAACTTAACCAATTGCAACGTGTGAGAATAGGTGGATTCTGATTCAAACAAATACTAAAAAATGTAATTACATATTTTATGAGATAGCGGGTAATTTGAACATAGGCTGGATAATTCATAATGTAAAGAATATTAGGTATAATTATATTGTGGTTACATATGGTTGTATTAGAGTTTTTTAAAGGTTCTCATCTTTTAGAGATACACAAGGAAATATTTACAGATGAAATGATAACAATGTATAGGATTTGCTTCAAATAATACAGGAAGGAAGTAGATAGGGTATGGACAGGGCAGGGGTTGTCCAGGGACTAATGGGTGCTGGAGCGGGGTGATGTATAAGAAAGTTGTGTAGGCCGGGTGCGGTGGCTCACGCCTATAATCCTAGCACTCTGGGAGGCCAAGGCGGGCGGATTGCTTGATGTCAGGAGTTCGAAACCACCCTGAGCAAGAGCGAGGCCCCTGTCTCTACTATAAATAGAAAGAAATTAATTGGCCAACTAATATATATAGAAAAAATTAGCTGGGCGTGGTGGCACATGCCTGTAGTCCCAGCCACTTGGGAGGGTGAGGCAGAAGGATTTGCTTGAGCCCAGGAGTTTGAGGTTGCTGTGAGCTAGGCTGATGCCATAGCACTCACTCTAGTCTGGGGGGGGGGGGGGAAGAAAGTTGTGTATATACTATTTTGTCTAGTTTTGTATATGTTTGAAACTCTCCTTATATAAAAAGTCTTTTAAAAGTCATAGAAAATGCTTACTTCTGATTCCCAACCCAAACTGAGGGAAAAGGGGAAGCACAGCATATTTTCAAATTAAGATTTATAATAAATTTGAATACTACATCTAAAACTTATTTTAGTGATGAGAACATTTTACAAAATTTATCCAAATTTGAAAAAATTCTAACTTCATGAACTGCTCCCCAAGTAAGGTAGCACGAAGAGAATGTGTAGGAATGTCAGGAAGGATAACTTTCCCGATTCTCAGGTCAGCCTCTTCAGATCATATCTCCCTCCAAATAAAGAATATATAACACATACAAGAAAGCAACATATGAAACAGGAATTATAAAAATTAAGAGAAATAAGGATCAGCATGTTGAAATTATAAAGACTGTCACAGTGGCATCCATTCTTGGCACTCTAAGAGTAGAAAATGAGTGAAATATTCACTTGAGCCCATTTGGCTCATATTTAAGCTCCCTATACATAATTAAATTAATTAATGTACTCTTGGCTAATGTTACTTGATAATTCTTAGCATATAAAATATAACACCCAAAAGCTGTTCAAGTATAAGACTTAATTAAGTGATAATTAGATATATGTTTATAAAATATAAGGTCATAGTTATGATTTTAATTGAAAAAATTTTTTTTCTCAACGTTTAGTTATAAAATCCCAAGGAAGTGAAAAAGCTCTTGTTTTTTTCTCTTCAAACCAATAATTACCTTTGATCCTTTCAAATAAGTATTCCTGATTTGGTGTGAGGTCTAGATACTGCACGATTGTATTCAGAGTCGGAATGAGAGGGGCTTTGACCAGGGCAGCTTGTTTCAAGCTAGTAATACTAGCCTCTGTTAAAAATAAAACACAGAGAACACAGATTATCCTTAATGTGGGTCTCTAAAAGAATGAAAAATGCTCTTCTTCTTGTGTTCATATAGCTTGCTTCTCATGGCATTTACACAAGTTAGTGATGTTTTCCCTGACTACCCTATCTCTAAGTCCCTGAACAATAACAATATCTTCCTGTGATTTTTTTTCTCCTTAGCACTAACCCCTATCCAACGTACTTCCTCTATTTTGTTTATTGTCTGTCTCATCCACTAGAAGGAATTTGGTTATTTTGCTCACTGCTGTATCCCTAACGCCTACAACAGTACCTAGCACAGAGTAGGTACTCAAAAGATGTTGAAGGAATAAATGAAAGTAACAATAGTTTATCTTAATTTGCATTATCTGCTTTATCTAACACTTATCCCTCCAGGCAAGGTAGCCAGATTTACACCTCACTCCCCCACATACCCCTAAAAAAGCAGCCAAATCCATTTTGGCAAATCTATAAACTAATGTATAGAAATTTTTATAGGATATATATAAAAAGATACATGATAGCTTTCAAAACAGGGTGAATTAGAAGTTGCCCATTATGCCAGGACAAGCAGAAACTTTTTATGATAGTGATTTTTCTTATCATATCATGAAAGTTAACTATACAAAGGAATTTTTTAAAAATTTCAAAATGTCTAACCTTACCAGTAATATCCAATGTTTAGGAAAAGGCATTCTTACATGTGACAGGGTTGCTAGAGTATAAACTGGTATAAACTTTTTGAAGGGAATATGCATCAAAAGCCTTAAAAATATTCACACCTATTGAAATAAAAACTCTATTTCTAAGAAATTACCCTAATGAAATAATTATAAATATAGACAAAAATTTGGATAAAAGGATATTCACTATAACATTATTAATAATAGTAAAAAAAAACCCACCTAAATTCTAGATAATAAAGATTGGTTACATATGCTATAATACATATATAAAAAAATACAATCTACCCATAAAAATAATGCTAGAGAATATTTAACAAAATGGAAAAGGTGGGGGAAGGGAAGCAGGCAACAAAATAATATGATTTCAATTTAATTAAAAGTATATACATATATATCCATATTTCCTCAATTCCTAAATACACACTTTTCACATTTCTTAAGTTATGGTATAACTTATAATGGATACACAGTCATGCATCACTTAATAATAGGGATATGTTTGTTCTAAGAAATGTGTGGTTGGGGGATCTTGTCATTGTGTGAACATCATAGAGTAAACTTACATAAACCTAGATAGTATAGCCTGCTACACACCTAGGCTTTATGGTGTAGCTTATTGCTCCTAGGCTACAAACCTGTATAGCAGGTTACTGTACTGAATACTGTAGGCAACTGTAACACAAAGGTAAATATTTGTGTATCTAAACATATCTAAATATGGGAAAGGTACTATAAAAATATGACACGAAAGATAAAAAAATGGTACAGCTATATAGGGCACTTACCATGAATGAAGTTGGACTGGAATTTGCTCTACGTGAGTGAGTGGGCAGTGAATGTGAAGGCCTACAAGACTTTATAACATTTCCACTGCTGTAGACTTTATAAACACTGTACACTTAGGCGACACTAAATTTATTTAAAACACTTTTCTTTTTCAATAATAAATTAACCTTAGCTTACTGTAACTTTTTTACTTTATAAACTTAATTTTTTTAACTTTTTGACTCCTTTGTAATAAGTTAGCTTAAAACACATTGTACAGCTGTACAAAAATATTTCCTTTGTTTATATCCTCATTAAGTTTTTCTATTTTAAACATTTTTTATTAATTTTTTTAAACCTTTTTTTGTCAAAAATTAAGACAAACACACAAATTATTAGCCCAGGTCTATACAGGGTCAGGATCATCAATATCACTGTCTTCCTCTTCCACATGTCCCACTAGAAAAGTCTTCAGGGGCAATAACACATATGGAGCTGTCATCTCCTGTGGTAACAATGCTCTCTTTGGGAACACCTTCCGAAGGCCCTGCATGAGGCTGCATTACAGTTAACTTTTTAAAAAATAATGACTACACTCTAAAATAATAATAAATAGTAAATACATAAACCAGTAACACAGTTGTTAATTATCAAGCATTGTGCCCTGTATATACGGTACGGGTCATACTTTTATATGACTGGCGAAGCAGTAGGTTTGTTTACAACAGTATCGCCATAAACACATGAGTAATATGTTGTCACTAGGAGATAGTAATTTTTCTGCTCCATTATAATCGTATGGGACCATCATATACCTGGTCTGTCGTTGACCAAAACATCATTATGCAGCACATCACTATATATAGTTAATGTTACAGCATTTGCTCCAAAAATAGTAATTTTTACAACTTTCCAAATTTTCTACAATGAACGTGTATTACTTTTGTAGTCACAAAACAAAGCAATGTTGTTATTTTTTTTTTTTTTTTTTTTTTTTTGAGACAGAGTCTCGCTTTGTTGTCCAGGCTAGAGTGCCATGGCGTCAGCCTAGCTCACAGCAACCTCAAACTCCTGGGCTCGAGAGATCCTTTTGCCTCAGCCTCCTGAGTAGCTGGGACTACAGGCATGAGCCACCATGCCCGGCTAATTTTTTATATATATATATCAGTTGGCCAATTAATTTCTTTCTATTTATAGTAGAGACGGGGTCTCGCTCTTGCTCAGGCTGGTTTTGAACTCCTGACCTTGAGCAATCCGCCCGCCTCGGCCTCCCAAGAGCTAGGATTACAGGCGTGAGCCATCGCGCCCGGCCAATGTTGTTATTTTTTAAAAGCACATTTCTGTGATAAAATGTCTTGAAAGATATAATTTTTTTAATTAAATTTTTTTTGTAGAGATGAGGATCTTGCTATGTTGCTCAGGCTGATCTCAAACTCTTGGCCTTAAGCAGTCTTCCTGCCTTGGCCTCCTAAAGTGCTGGGATTGCAGGCATGAGCCACCACACCCAGCCTAAAAAATACACACATATATATATATAATATATATATATATATATGTATGTATTTTTTTTTTTTTTTGAGACAAGGTCTTGCTCTATTACCCAGGCTCAAGTGCAATGGTGTCAGCTTACTGCAACCTTAAATTCCTGGGCTCAAGCGAATCTCGAGTAGCTGAAACTACAGACATGTGACCTCATGCCTAATTTTTTTTTTTTTTTTAATTTTTTGTAGAGACACAGGTGTCTTGCTATGTTGCTCAGGATGGTTTCAAACTCCTGGCCTCAAGTGATCCTCCTGCCTCGGCCTCCCAAAGTGCTAGGACTACAGGCATGAGCCACTACACCTATCCAGAAGATTCTATGGTTTTATATTTCAAATAGAAAGCTCGGAAAGGAGAAGCACAGGTTTAAATAACATTACCTACACTGAGAAAGTACCCATTCTGGCTTTGAAGCCAGAGAATTCTGGTCTCCCATCACTGGCCTGTACACTGGGCAAGTTGCTTACCTTCTCTTAATTTCAGTAGCCTCATCCATCATCAAGGAGCTGGTTAACTAAAATATTCCCTATTTTCAAAACTAATTACTTGACATCAAGTAAGTTGTAGCATATATATATTTTAGGCAAATTACATTACATGGTACCTTCATTTTTATTTTTAGCAGATAAGAGTTGAAAACGGGTGATTTAAAATTACTATTATACATTCTTTATGCTATATACAACTTTGTAATTAATATTCGACAAGGGTCTTGGTCTTTTATCTATAACATATAAAGAACACCTATTACTCAATAATAAAAAGGAAAATAACCCAATTTAAAAACGGGTTAAAAGATCTGAAAAGACATTTCTCTTAAGAAGATATAAAAATGGCCAATACAAGAGTTTGAGACCAGTCTGGGCAACATAGTAAGACCCGTCTCTACAAAAATTAATAATTAAAAAAATCAGCCAGATGTAGTGGCACATGCCTGAAGTCCTAGCTACTTGGGAGGCTGAGGCAGGAGGATCCCTTGAACCCAGAAGAATGAGGTTATAGTGAACTAGGATCATGGCATTCCACTCCAGCCTGGGTGGTGGAGCAAGACTCTGTTTCCAAAAAAGAAAAAAGGGGGGGGCAATAAACACATGAAAAGATGTTTACCATCACTAGCCGTCAAGGAAATGTAAACTAAAACCACAATGAGATACTATTTTCCACCTACTAGGATGACCATAAGACATATACACCACTGGTGAGACTATAAAATGGTGCAGCTGGTTCAGAAAAGAGCCTGGCAATTCCTCAAAAGGTTTTAAACACAGAGGTACCATATGGCTCAGGAATTCCACTCCTAAGTATATATCCAAGAGAAATGAAAACATATACCCACATAAACAGCTGTATATGATTGTTCACAACATCACATCATTATTCACAGTAGCCCCAAAGTGGAAACAACCCAAATGCTAATCAACTGGTAAATGATAAGCAAACCGTGGTAGGTAGATCTATTTTGAATATAATTCAGCAATAAAAAAAAAATGAAGTACTGTTAAATGCTTAACACAGATGAACTTTGAAAACATTATGTTAACTGAAAGAAGGTAGCACAAAGGACCACATATTGTGTGATTCCATTTATATAAAATACTCAGAACAGGACTATCCACAGAACTACAAAATAGACTGGTACTTGCCTAAGGCTGGGGAAACACATGAGATGGGGTGTGGGGGGGTGACTACTAAAGGGTATGGGTTTTTTGGGTGGGGTGATGAAATGTTCTGAAATTGATTGTGGTGATGGTTGCACTATCCAAAACTTTGGATTATACACTTAAATGAATAAATTGTATGTTAGGTAAATTACATCTCAAAGCTGTTACACTTAAGAAAAAACTATATTACAGACATTCTGTTTTTTATCTTTACCTCAAGATAACCAAAAAAGTTGTAAAACAGCCCATTACAAGAAGAAATTTTCCACTTGGTAGATTTATTGACAATAAATCAAATGTTGGGTTCTATTTTCACATACCTCCTATTTGTAGCTCTGGACAGCCCATTCGTCTCATCTGTGTGCTGACAGACTCAATCTCTTGAACAAGTGGCACTAATATTGTCTCATTGATCCACTAGGAAGAAATGAGGTACAGACTTTGCATATATAATTCCAAAGTATTTCTCAAATAATTATTTTCTTTTTTACAAGCAACTCCTAAGAATTTTTTTTTTTTATTATCCTTTACTTAAATATTAAGAGTCATAAAGTACAGTGAAAGAGAATGGAAGTAGCAGCTACCTGAAGTCAAGAGTTTACAAGTAAATATGATATTGGAGTGTAAATTAATTAAGTCACAGTCTTAAATGACATGTCTGTTTTTTCTGAAGAAAATATAAAACTTAGCTATATGTTAATTTTTTTTTTTTTAGACAGAGTCTCACTTTGTTGTCCAGGCTAGAGTGAGTGCTGTGGCATCAGCCTAGCTCACAGCAACCTCAATCTCCTGGGCTCAAACAATCCTCCTGCCTCAGCCTCCCAAGTAGCTGGGACTGCAGGCATGCGCCACCATGCCCAGCTAATTTTTTCTATATATATATATTAGTTGGCCAATTAATTTCTTTCTATTTATAGTAGAGATGGGGTCTTGCTCTTGCTCAGGCTGGTTTCGAACTCCTGACCTTGAGCAATCGCAATCCGCCCGCCTCAGCCTCCCAGAGTGCTAGGATTACAGGCGTGAGCCACTGCACCCAGCCTTATGTTAAATTTTTATTCAAATTTTTTTCTATGATTATTATACTTAGCTAAAGGGATAATCTTCAGTTTATATTTCCAGGGTAATTACTCACACATTTATAAACATAGTATTTGTACTGGTTTGTGATGATAGCTTTTCAAACTAATATAACTTATTAACTATCAGCAGGCTCACCTAGTTTCCTAACCACAGAGATTCATCACATTTGAAACTGGTTTGTAAATATCACAATATTATTTCAGGACTAGAAATTTCAAATTCCTTTTTCATGGCTAATATCAAACTAATTCTGGGATGTGAAAAGACTGTCTAAGCAAACTCCTTATCTAGTTTGTGTGTTACTGTTTTGTGTGTGTGTCTGTAGCAACTTCAGGCACCACTTCTATTTCCATGCTTTTGTTTAACCACAAAATGAAAGGCTCAAAAAATGTTTCAGAAGAAAAACAAGTCCACAATTCCTTATAAACAATGTTGAATTTAAAACTTCTGAAAATAAAGTTTTTTTGTAATCCATTTAGCAAGCAAAATTTGATATACTGGTAAGACTCAAACTGAGTTGACAAGAAGCTACTATAGATTTTATTGCACTTAGTATGACTGTTCATATGCTTTGTTATGAAAATATTAATGCAGTCCATTGCTGGGAACTAATGACTCTGCTGGTGGTGTTACAAAATATGTGGTACAGGTATATACATACTGCTTTTTTAAAAAATCTAAAAAACTCTAAATTTTAGAACATGGTAGCCTAAAGAACTCAGATGAAGAATAATGTTTGTATTTTTCTAAAGGGCTCATACTCCTGAACAAGCTTTTAAATTTTAAATATATTAACATTTTTAGACTAGCCTATAACTGAAACTACAACAGATTACAAGACATCATTTCACTCATTCATTCTTCCAACATTTATTACATGCATCCCACTTGCCAGCCACTTTTTGGCTGCAACAAAACTATTTAAGGTGTCCAGGAGAGAAAGCTAGGCCTTACCCCCAGAAATTCTAACTGAGTAGGCTTAGGATTGGGCTCAGGAATTTTGATTTTTAAAGTGCTGTCTAGGTTTCTGGTTCAAGAAAGCAGGCTACCATTTTTACCTGTCCCCCTTGATGCCCTATGTAAATTACGGTAAAAGAATAAAAACAAGCACAAGTGATGTCAACATAGTTCTAGAAGATGCAGAGTGGCTAGATAAGTGTTGAGGGATGTAAATAGGAGAAGCAGCAGGGTTTATAGAACGTAAGTGGAGCTACCTGTAGTGGAGGAGGGAGCCAATCAGCTCAACAGACCTGGGGACGCGACATATTGGTACTACAGAGATTGGGGTAAAGAGGTAGAGTTGGAAACAAAGGAACTAACCAACTTTGTAAATGGAAAAGCTGACCTCCAGGTCAATGATTAGAGAGGGTTCTTCTCTAGAAAAACTGAAATTATGTATATATTCTGAAGTAGCTTCAAACATATATTGTCTTATTTCTCTAACTTTTAAGTTTTCTGAGGGCAAGGACCCCATTTTTGTTTCCTTCACAATTCTACGTATGTGATCTGACTGACAGAAAAGCAGTTGTTATTAACTATTAACATATTGTTCCTTTATCTTTTCAAAATACATTGATTTACTAAAAATGGAGGGTGGGAAATCCCATGAAAATGGACGCCAAAAGGTAAATGTCATGTTTACCCCTATAAATGTACCATTCACACTGTACTTTTAATAATAATTAATGCTAATATCCTATTTAATAACAAATCTGATAGTCTAATAACATGTTTTGCATACCGAGGCACTAATTGTCCAAAAAATAATGTCAGGACTTACATTTCTAAACTTAGCTGTCCATGAATCCATATGATCAAGAAGTTGTCTATTCATAGTCACTCTTGCCCAAACCTATTAAAAATACACCATGTATAAAATGAATAATCAGTGAGGAAAAACCCTGCCAAAGCATCATTCCTCCCCTTACCCTAAAAAAATATGATGAACTTTGAAAAAAATCTTCACAAATATCCATATTCATCTAGTTAATATTCAAAATTTTATTACCCACTTAAAGTTGCTATTCATGCACAGATATATCCTTAAAAGTTCCTTATATTAGTATGCTTAAAGAATGTTTTTATTGCTTCTAAGAACAAAATTAAAATCCCATATTTGGTATTACAGTGATGGAGTTATAGACTGACAAATGTTCTAATCCAAATGTATTTTACAAGCAAGAGTCTTGTATATGTTAAGTACAATTAGAAACCCGAGAGTCTTTTGATAATGCATATAGAAAGATGTTTCAGGCAAGGCACTAATGTCAACCATGTGTCGCAAAGTAAAATGTACAGCATAATTTAGTTTTAGGTACACAAAGTAAGAGAGGAGCTCTTCCAGTGTTTAATGTGTGCCAGATTTACATTTCTATACAGTAAAAGTGAAGATTATAGAAAAAATGTCTCCAAAGTTGAAGACTTTCTAACAATCCATAAATCGTAAATATTAAGTCATTTTATTTTCCATTTACCTCTTCTGCAGCTTGTTTAGAACTGAGATCGGCTTCATCTTTGTTAGCACATGGGGCCTGAGACCTACAGGCAAGCTGATACTGAAACTTCTTTAGAGTTTGTGCATAATCCCCCACAGAACGACTGTAGTTCCAAAAAGTAGGACTGCTGGAAGGAGAGGTAGAATCTGGGCTCCCTGCAAGTATTAATTTAAACTGTATAAGTCTGTTGTAGTAATTTTTACAACTAGTTAACACATACCTATTAATAGGTACTTAGGCAACGGCAATGAAGGAATCAGAAGGCAAACCCCCAAGGAGCTTCTCTCCTCTCTCCTCCTCAACATAAATTTTCTCTTTAAAGAACACCGACTGCTTGTATTAAAAATTAAAAGGAACATTTTCTGAGCGGTATCAATTTAGGAACCATAACAACAATAAGTAGTTGAAAGTGTTTATTTTTATTGTATTTTATTTTATTAAACTTGTTTCATTCTCTAAGACATTTAAATCATTTAGTTATAAACAAACAAAAGACAAATTTCTTCAGGAAATAAATAGGCTAAGCAAGTTCCTTGCTTGAATTTTTAGAAGCTTCTCCTGAATGGGATAAGCACAGCCTCCTATTATAGACTACTCTCTTGAGCTATAGGCTAAATTTACTCATCCCTGCACTATACTGTGTTTTATTTAATATCCTGTAGTAATTCCTGCCTGGTATTAAAAGACTATCTGCTGACTCACTCCTTAATTTACAAAATTGCCGAGGGCAGTAGCTCAGCCTATAATCTCAGCACTTTCGGAGGTCAAGGCAGGAGGATTTCTTGAGATTAGGAGTTAAGAGACCAGCCTGAGCAACACAGGGAGATGCCATTTCTACAAAAATTAAAAAAATTAGCCAGGTGTGGTGGCTCATGCCTGTAGTCCCACCTACTCAGGAGGCAGAGGCAAAAGGATTGCTTGAACCTGAGAATGTGATGCTGTAGTGACCTATTAACAGGTCACTGCACTCTAGCCTAGGCAACAGAGCAAGACCCTGTATCTATAAAAATAAATAAATTTCCAAATTTACTTTTTGGAAATGTAAAAAGGTTACATTGAGGAATCTACTCCTACAGAGGCCCATAGCAGAGTACTTATCATACTTCAGTGTTATAGTTTGTTTTGCCAAATAGAATTTGAACTCTTTGAGGGTAGGGAGTATTTTTCTCCCCTAGCCTCTAGCATAGTACCTGAATAAATAAGCAAGTTTTCAATGACAAATATAAGGTATTTATGAAGGGATTAGTTTTTCATAGTTAAAGTGATATCAAAAATATCAATTGAGCCGGGCGTGGTGGCTCACGCCTGTAATCCTAGCACTCTGGGAGGCTGAGGCGGGCGGATTGCTCAAGGTCAGGAGTTCGAAACCACCCTGAGCAAAGGAGCCGAGACCGTCTCTACTATAAATAAAAGAAATTAAATTGGCCAACTAATAATATATAGAAAAATTAGCCGGGCATGGTGGCGCTGCCTGTAGTCCAGCTACTCGGGAGGCTGAGGCAGCAAGGATTGCTTGAGGGCCAGGAGATTGGGTTGCTGTGAGCTAGGCTGACGCCATGGCACTCACCTCTAGCCTGGGTAACAAAGCGAGACTCTGTCTCAAAAAAAAAAAAAAAAATATCAATTGATACTTTATGGTCTTGGAGGGGAAAGAAAGAAAAAAAGATACTTTATGCTCTCACACAAAAATCACAAACATAGGCCAGGTGAGGTAGCTAATGCCTCTAATCCTAACACTCAGGGAGGCCAAGGTGGGCGGATCGGATGGCTCAAGGTCAGGAGTTTGAAATCAGCCTGAGCAAGAGCAAGACCCCATCTCTACTAAAAGAATAAAGAAATTAATTGGACAACTAAAAATATATATTAAAAAAAATTAGCTGGGCATGGTGGTGCATGCCTATAGTCCCAGCTACTCAGGAGGCTGAGGCAGAAGGATTGCTTGAGTCTAGGACTTTGAGGTTGCTGTGAGCTAGGTTGACGGCCACGGCACTCTAGCCTGGGAAACAGAATGAGGCTCTGTCTAAAAAAAAAAAAAAATCACAAACATAAACCAGTTCTTTTTTTTTTGAGACAGTCTTGCTTATTGCCCAGGCTATAGTGAGTGCCATGGCGTCAGCCTAGCTCACAGCAACCTCAAACTCCTGGGCTCAAGTAATCCTTCTGCCTCAGCCTCCCGAGTAGCTGGGACTACAGGCATGCCGCCACCATGCCCGGCTAATTTTATATATATATATCTCAGCAATTAATTTCTTTCTATTTATAGTAGAGACGGGGTCTCGCTCTTGCTCAGGCTGGTTTTGAACTCCTGACCTCGAGCAATCCGCCCCACCTTGGCCTCCCAGAGTGCTAGGATTACAGGCATGAGCCACCGACCGGCTAAACCAGTTCTTTATCTTAGAATTTCTAAAAGAAGTGACTATAGAAGAATAAAATTAATTTTCTTGTGATGTTTATATGCACTAAGGATGAGAGATCATGAAAAGGATATGTAGCAACCTTTAATTCATCAAAATCTTGAAGGTTAGCCAGTCTTGTGCTAGGAGCTTTGGTGAATATAGTATGTTTCATGCTAAACATATCACATAAAAATAAAAAGTTATCTCAAGAAATATCACACTTTGTGTGACATTAAATTTCAAAGTAGGACTTCTGACAAAATTGACTCATAGGAATGAATTAATGTCAAGAAAAGAAGTTGTAAACAAACACAAATGATTTAATAAATAAGGAACAATAAGAAACAGGGTAATGATAAAGTTTTCCTATTTTGATTAATCATATTCACTATTAACTTTAGTAATAGTAAGCTTTCTTTGAAAAAACTTGAACCTGGGAAAAATTTCATTGAAGACTGGCCTTAGATAATGGATAGAAACAGGAATTTTTAATACTTCTTGGGCATTAAAGTAAATAAAAAATATATATAGCAAGCAGTGACAAATTAGGGCCTTTCTGTGATGAACATCAATAATATCACCACTACCACCAACACCTCCACCAAAATAGCACAAAACTATAGATGGATAACCTCAAAGACCTAAGAATCAAAGCACAGAGAGATTTAGATACCTGGCAACATAGCAAACCAGATAATCTAAAATATTTCCCAATATAAATATCTAAAAATGATTACTAAATAAAACAGATTATTTAAAAGAATAATGGAGCTTGCAAAAAAGTAAGGGTACAAATAGCCAGTGGCTAAAAATGAAGAGCAAACTGAAAATCAGAGTAGCCTGTGGGTTGTGGCTGCTCTAGAGAAGCTTGCAGTCCTTGAGAAATCTATCAGCTTGGATTTTAGTGTCCAAGTGGGAACTGGAGATAAGGATTTGAGCCTGGGAGAGTAAAGAGTTGGATTAAGACCTTTACTCTACCCCATTTCCTGCTCCCAGCATCGTGCCAGGAATTTCAAAGGGTTACATTCTGAGTAGATAAGAGAAAAAATCTGTCCACTGGCACCATGAGATAAAGGAAGCACATCTGTCTTAGACTGTTGGGAACTTTTTTTTAAAGTCCTGCGATTTAAAAATCACAGATTCATCTTCACTTGGGTTTAGAGTGTCTATTTACAGTACCTATAAGGTCCAGGAATGTCCAAGCTTAGAAATCACTTAAATTAGCTCAAGGGCAACGATACTTCTTAGGCACCTGACAGAGGCATATATAAGATGGCTAGGAAGAGACAGGGCATCCATCCAACTTGCCCAGGACAGACAAAACACTGACAAACCTCTACTGAAGATAAGCTTACCACAACAAACAAAATTACATAAACCACAAGCATAATGGTCGACAAGACAAAAATGTCAGTATTTAACCTGCAAGAACGTTAGATAATTGAACTACTGGACAAAGACTTACTATTTTAAAAAGTGTGTTTAGGCCGGGCCCGGTGGCTCACGCTTGTAATCCTAGCACTCTGGGAAGCCGAGGCGGGCGGATTGCTCAAGGTCAGGAGTTCAAAACCAGCCTGAGCGAGACCCCGTCTCTACTATAAAAATAGAAAGAAATCAATTGGCCAACTAATATATATATATAAAAAAAATTAGCCGGGCATGGTGGCTCGTGCCTGTAGTCCCAGCAACTCGGGAGGCTGAGCAGTAGGATGGCTTGAGCCCAGGAGTTTGAGGTTGCTGTGAGCTAGCTGACGCCACGGCCACTCACACTAGCCTAGGCAAGAAAGCGAGACTCTGTCTCAAAAAAAAAAAAAAAAAAGTGTGTTTAAAGTGACTGAGATAGAAAATGGAATTGAAGTGACTGAAACAAATAAATTGGGTTGAGGAGTAAAACAGAATGCTCTTATTTAAAGAGGGGCAAACTATTAAATGTAGAAGAAATGAATATATTAGGAAGTCTCCATTTTGAGCCACTACTGTATTATCTCATTCAGGCAAGAATCATCAATAGATGTTAAAATTACTGGGTGAAAAACTGTTAGGGGAACAGGATACAAAAGAGAAAAGCTATTATGAAGAAATCTGGTTGTCATCACCTTGATCAAGTGATCCAATTTTACTATGCCAACAAATGGACAAAACAGCATCATGTATCTCTTCATACAATACACTGAAAGGGACATGCCACCACCTAAGTATTCTCGCCAGAAAATATTTAACCTGAATTCAATACTCAGGAAATGATCAGACAAATCCAAATTTGCAAAACAACCTGATCTTTTCAAAATGTAAACGTTATACAAGACAAAAAAACAAATAAATGTTCTAGTTTAAAGACAAAAGAAGCAGGACAACTAATTGCAATACATGATCCCTAACTATATCCTGCATCAGTAAAAGAAAGAAAAAGAGCTATAAGGGTTGTGATTGGGTCAACTGGGGAAATGTGAGTAGGAATAATTGTAGTATCTTAAGCACGACAATCATACTATAATTATAAAGGAAACTGTCTTGTTCTTAGGAGAAGCATGTGAAATTATTTAGGAATGAAATGGCACACTATCTCCAACTTCCTTTCAAATGGTTCAGCAAAAAAGTATATGCGTGAGTGAGAAAGAGAGAGAATGAATGACAGTTTGGTTTGCCACTACTGGAGAATGGAGCTACAAATATTCTTATTCTGCTTATTCTGTCCTGTGTAAATGGATTGGAATTGAAGGTATCAATATGAACTCATAGTTTTTAATATATACACAGATGGAGAAATGCATACAGATGTGTGTGCACTTAAATCTGTGTGATTATGTATGTCTATACATAAACTTCTTAGCTGTATGCTGAGAGGACCTAGAGTAATGATACCTCAGTAGCAATAGCATGCTCAGCACCAACATATTAATTTCTTTCTTTTTTTTTTTTTTTTTTGGAGACAGAGTTTCACTCTGGCTAGAGTGCTGTGGCATCATCCATAGCTCACAGCAACCTCAAACTCCTGGGCTCAAGTGATCCTCCTGCCTCAGCCTCCTGAGTAGCTGGGACTACAGGAATGCACCATCATGCCCAGCTAATTTTTTCTATATATGTTTAGTTGTCCAATTAATTTCTTTCTATTTTTATTTAGAGATGGGGTCTTGCCCTTGCTTAGGCTGGTCTTGAATTCCTGAGCTCAAACAATCCACCCGCTTCGCCCTCCCAGAGTGCTAGGATTACAGGTGTGAGCCACCGTGCCTGGCCTAGTCTTAAACTCTTGAGCCCAAGCAATCCTCCCACCTCGGCCTCCCAGAGTGCTAGCATTATGGTGTGAGCCACTGTGTCTAGGCTAATTTCTAAATATCATTCTCTATTAAAAGGAATCGGGGCTCTTGGGGAAACAGACTGATTCCAGAGCTAGCCAGGGAAAGTACAAGATGAGCCTGAAATATTTTGTGGTGCTATTAATAGAAAGCAGGGGATGGGGGAGAAAGGAGAGTCCTCAAAGAATATAGTGTCATGTCAAAAGAACAGAGAAGCCAGATTAAAGAGGATTCTAATAGCCAAATCTGGGAAAATCTAACCATCAAAATAAATGACATAATTGGAAGAAAAAGTTTAATCTTATAGTAGAATACCAACAAATAAATGTAAAAGAGGGTTATATACAATATGAATCTACTTAATACCACTGAATTATACAATTAAAATGGTTAAAATGGTGAATCTTATGTATATTTTGCCACAATAAAAAAAATATATATAAAAGAGGCCAGGTGTGGTGGCTCATGCCTGCAGTCCTGGCACTTTGGGAGATTGCTTGAGGCCAGGGGTTCAAGACCAGCCTAAGCAACATAGTAAGATACTGTCTCTACTAAAAAAAAAGAAAGAAAGAAAAATGAGCCAGGCGTGGTGATATACGCCTGTAGCCCCAGCTACTCGGGAGGCCAAGACAGGAGGATTGCTTGAGCCCAGGAGTTTGAGCTTGCAGTGAGCTATGATGATGCCACTGCACTCTAGCTCTGGGTGACAGAGCAAGACACTGTCTCAGAAAAAAAAAAAAAGATGTTAAAACTAGTAAATCAAAGTTTGATGAGGAACAGAATATTTATACAGTCTTGAGAGTAGCTGTCCACAAAATACTTATTCTTTATGAATTAATTTGTACAAAGTACTTAATTACCTAAAACCTAAGGGCACAGATTAAAAGTATAGGGATAGGCCGGGCGCGGTGGCTCACGCTTGTAATCCTAGCACTCTGGGAGGCCGAGGCGGGCGGATTGCTCAAGGTCAGGAGTTCAAAACCAGCCTGAGCGAGACCCCGTCTCTACTATAAAAAATAGAAAGAAATTAATTGGCCAACTAATATATATATATATAAATTAGCCGGGCATGGTGGCTCGTGCCTGTAGTCCCAGCAACTCGGGAGGCTGAGGCAGTAGGATTGCTTAAGCCCAGGAGTCTGAGGTTGCTGTGAGCTAGGCTGACGCCATGGCACTCACTCTAACCTAGGCAAGAAAGCGAGACTCTGTCTCCAAAAAAAAAAAAAAAAAAAAAAAAAAAAGTATAGGGATAAACATTGATATACCAGGCAAATACTAACTAAAAGGAATTTAGTATAGCTGTGTTAAGGCAAAAAGTCTAATAAGAGATAAAGATAAAAGACACAATTCACCTGAATGATATTAACAATTCTGAATTTACATGCACTTTGCATAATCTCATCTATATTTAGCCAATCTGACAGAATTACAAAGAAACATTTAATGGGAAACAATCAGTGGGGGTTTTGAGACACTTTCTTAATAATTGGTAGATCAAACAGATAAAAATTAGTAAGATAATTTAACAACACCATCTAGAAGCTTGATTCAGTGAACAAACATGAAGCCCAAAATTTAAAGACTATCCATTCTTTTCAATATACCAAAAGCCATTTACAAAAAAATGATCATATAGCAGACCTAAAAGCAACTCTGGGGAAAAAAAAACAAAACCCAAAACCAACAAATTAATAGGTACAGATGAGAATCTCTAACCACAGTACCATTAACCTAGGGGAGAAAAAAAAAACAAGTCTCTTCAAGCTTGAAATTAAAAGCAACAGCAACAGCATTTCCAAACAGTAATAATAATATTACTTCTAAATAACTCCTATTGGTCAAAGAAATACAAATGAAATCAGAAAATACCTGGCTATCACAAAGATGTATAGAGGATATATAGGTTGTTCTTTGTATTATACTCTATTATTTCCGATAGACTTGAAATACTTCAAAATTTAAAAAAGCATGTTACCAAAAATAACAAGATAATATTGATTTGTTTCTTTGACATTTGTGGCACTTTCAGGCTAAACTAAATTAAAAATCACTGGAGAGATTTCAAGCGACACAAAGAGCCATGGTCCAATAACTGGCTTCCTCACCATGGCCAAGTTAGCACCTAATGTGCTTCTGTGAAAGTTCCTGAGGGGGAAAAATCATTACCCAGTTCAGTAACCTAATTCGGTTTCAAATAATTGATTTTGTAACAAATCCACCCCAAATATATTAAGATTTGCTAACATTATTTCCCAAGGTAAACTATAGGCTTTAAGACCAAAAGACAAGTTTAAAAATGTTCTGAAAAATGGCAACATTTTAAAATTTATGCTCTCTCCTTCATTCTGCTCTATGACACCAACCTTGCAAAGGACTACTTGAAAAGAGACAACATTATTTGAATAAATTCACTGTGTAATGCTTCAAAAACATTATTTTGTAGCCTCAACTTTAAACAAGTTATAACTTATATTACGTGAAAAGTTTTCCATTTTATTGTAATGAAAGATTCAAGATTCCTCAGTTCAGATATATTTCACTTCTTAAATTTAGTGAACTTAATTCTAACTGCATAAAAGTATATTACATATAAAGTAAAACTAAATGTTTTCTTTTTTTTATTTTTTTCACTCCTAAATGTGTTTTCTAAGTTACACAAGGTATATTAGTAAAAGAGACTTAAAATTTTATGTATAAGTATCAAAATAATGAAAATAGGTTAAGGATTACAAAAAGTAACAACAAAAATATATACAGTAGATATAAATAAAATATATACATACCCAACTTAACCCTATGCTGTTTCTCTTCTTCACACCTAAGAAAAGTGTCCAAAGTCCGTAGGTCTGTCATGTAGCCTTCTTTGTCAGTAGGTGAGTTATAGACAGTGGGAGAAGAACGGTAGCGAGATCTCAATCCACTGCTCTCTACTGGTCCAACAGTGGTAGGGTATGGAGGAGAGGGACTAAAGCTTGCCAACTATACAAAATAAAGGAACTTTATTTTATTTTTATTTAATTGAAATTCATTTTGTCTTGCGTTTTGACTTTTAAAAGTAACATCCCTAGCAGAATGGCCAAAATCAAGAACAATGACAACACCAAATGCTGGTGAGGTTGTAGAACAACTAAATCTCTCATTCTCTGCTAGTGGGAATGCAAAATGATGTAGCCCCTTTGAAAGACAGTGTGGCAGTTTCTAATAAAACTAAACATTCTCTTACCATACATGCTAGTAATTGTGTTCCTTGGTATTTACTCAAAGGAGTTGAAAACATGTCCACACAAAAACCTGCATATAATGTTTGTAGCAGCTTTATTCCTAATCATCAAAACTTAGAAGCAGGCCGGGCGCTGTGGCTCACGCCTGTAATCCTAGCTCTTGGGGCGAGGGGGCGGATTGCTCAACGTCAGGAGTTCAAAACCAGCCTGAGCAAGAGTGAGACCCCGTCTCTACTATAAATAGAAAGAATAATTGGCCAACTGATATATATATAAAAAAATTAGCCGGGCATGGTGGCGCATGCTGTAGTCCCAGCTACTCGGGAGGCTGAGCGAAGGATCACTCGAGCCCAGGAGTTTGAGGTTGCTGTGAGCTAGGCTGACGCCATGGCACTCACTCTAGCCTGGGCAACAAAGCGAGACTCTGTCTCAAAAAAAAAAAAAAAAAAACTTAGAAGCAACCAAGATGTCCTTCAGTAGGTAAATGGGTAAATAAACTGGCACATTCAGGCAATGGAGTATTATTTAATGCTAAAAAGAAATGAGCTACCAAGGTACGAAAAGACACAGAGGAAACTTAAAGGCATATTGCTAAGTGAAAAAAGCCAACCTGAGGCCGGGCGCGGTGGCTCACGCCTGTAATCCTAGCTCTCTGGGAGGCCGAGGCGGGGATTGCTCGAGGTCAGAGTTCAAAACCAGCCTGAGCAAGAGCGAGACCCTGTCTCTACTATAAATAGAAAGAAACTAATTGGCCAACTAATATATATATAGAAAAAATTAGCCGGGCATGGTGGCTCATGCCTGTAGTCCCAGCTACTTGGGAGGCTGAGACAGAAGGATCCTCTGAGCCAGGAGATTGAGGTTGCTGTGAGCTAGGCTGACGCCATGGCACTCACTCTAGCCTAGGCAACAAAGCGAAACTCTGTCTCAAAAAAAAAAAAAAAAAAAAAAAAAAAAAAAAAAAAAAAAAAAAAAGCCAACCTGAAAGACTACCTATGTATGATTCCAGGTACATGACATTCTGGAAAAAGCGAAACAATGAAGGCAGTAAAAAGATCAGTGATTGCTAGGAATTTGGAAGGGAAAAGGGATGAATAAATAAAGTACAAGAGATTTTTATTCTGTATGATACTATAATAGTGAATATGTGTCATTAAACATTCTCCAAACCCACAGAATGCACAACACCCAGAGTGAGCCCTAATGTAAACTGTGGACTCTGGGTGATAATGACGTGTCAATGTAGGTTCATCAATTTTAACAAATGTGCCAATCTGAAGAGGTATGTTGATAATGGGGGAGACTATGAATGTGTCAGGGCAGGGGATATATGTGAGAATTCTGTACCTTCCTCTCAATTTTGCTGTGAACCTAAAACTAAAGTCTATGAAAAAAAAAAAAGCAACACATGGATATTTTTAAAAATTGAAAGTGTAAGTAACAGCTATAATTTTGCCACCCAGAGATAATATAATCCTTTCCCACATTTTATTTATCTATTTACCTATCTATTTATTTAGCTAGTTCACTCTAGCTATCTAGCTAGCTAATTAGCTAGCTCTGCTGCCCAAGGTGGAGTATAGTGACATGATCACAGCTCACTGTAGCCTCCAACTCCTGGGCTCAAGTGATCCTCCTGCCTTAGCCTCCCATGTAGCTGGGACTACAGGTATGCACCACCACATCCAGCTCTATGTATATTTTTTTAAATCCCATAATTAAAATAGCAACCCAAGGGAAAAAAATCATAGAGGATTATAGACCCAAAAAACAAGTAGAGAATGAGAACTTTTTGATTTAGTTAAGTGGCTTTGCAAGAAATAACTGTTAAATTTACAACAGACAATTTTCATTTTCTTATTAGCAGAGATTTTTTAAAAACCTGATGATTAAGAGTATGGTATTAATAAAATAAGTACTCTTATACATTTCTGTGACAATGGTTTTAAGGTACAGAGCTCTTAAGGTATAGAGCTATTTAGTACAGATTATCCAGGTTTTAAAAAATGAAAATAAATATTCAGGAGTAAACTATGGTATATCCACTAGATTATTAAGTAGCCATTAAACAGAGATCATTTTTGGGTGGTAGGACTATGAGCAATTTTCTATTTTATTTTTCCAATTTTCTATAATGATCATATAGCACTTTTCTTATAAAAACAAATTTTAAAAAGCCATAGTTGGCCAGGCACAGTGGTTCATGCCCATAATCCCAGCACTTTGGGGAGGCTGAGGCAAAAGGATCACTTGAAGCCAGGAGTCTAAGATTAGCCTGAGCAATATAGCAAAACCTTCCCTCTACAAAAAAATAGAAAAATCAGATGGGCATGCTGGCATATACCTGTAGCCCCAGCTGCTTGGGAGGCTGAAGCAGGAGGATCACTTGAGCCTGGGAGTTTGAGGTTGCAGTGAGCTATGTTGATGCCACTGCACTCTAGCCCAGGCAACAGAGCGACCCCTCACCCCCAACATCATATTTACCCATGAGTTATAAATTATCATCACATATACACTTTTCCATTTCACTTGTACAAAATTTTCTAAATGCTATTACAAAATTATTTTTAATATTAGGTAACCAGTAGTATGAAATTTCATTACAAAGAAATACTCTGTAAGAGGATAAGGGCAGACAGGGTGTTGGTTTCATTTCCAACATTCCTCTTTTAATGAGTAGCTATAGAGATGTTAATCCAACACAATAGTAAGAGCATCAGAAGTGACCACTCTCGTTCTAATGCCCCTTATAATCTTATGCTTCAGAAAGGAATCAAAGTTTCAATCCGTCAATTCTGCTTTTATTAAGCCTAAAAATTAGAACAAAAGTCCACATTACTGTGGGAGTTAGAATTAAGGTTTCAGCTCATGCCATGGAAAGTGTCCATACTCAGGAATCAAACTACATGACAATCCCAGTTTTTAGTTTAGAAGATACTCTAACATGATAAAAAAAAAGCATTAAAATTTTACAAGGGAATACAAAGGCTTCACATAAAGCAGCAAGGAGGGAAACCATAAGTAAAGGACACTAATGTAACAAATCATCAGTTTCAAATTGTTTCAAAGACTGCTGAAAGATCCTAGATAGTAACTCTCAGTTCATCATCTTTGCAAATGCTAATTTTTTTCTTTTATTTTAAGAAGTTATGTAAAGAACTTCTGACTAGGTATTAGGAAATCTGTGTCCAATTCTTGGCTCTTAAATGGGTGATTAGAGCAAGTCAATTACCCTCTGTTCCTCATTTTGCTCATTGATAAAATGAGAAGTTTTGACTCACTAGATGATTTTTAATGTACCTCCCAATTTTAAAATAACGTGACTAGCTGAGAGAGAAGAGTCATTACCTTATTATAACCACTGACAGGTGAGTAGGTGACTCCAGGGCTGTAAGAACCACTGCTACCTGAGGACAGACCTTGTAGCTGAGGGCTGTATCCAGTCATACAGCTGGTAGTGAATTTGGGACTGGTACTGGGTGAACGAGATGGGCTATAACTCAACACACTCTGACCCTGAATTGAAGGGGAAGGTGGAGAGGGAGGGATTTGTGTGGCTGTCAGGTCATGTGGCGGAGTAGTCTGTATAACTAGAAGGAGAAAAGAAACATATATATATATATATGTATATACAAATAAAATTTCTATGAAAACATATTTAAGAAACTAGGCCTTTTTCTTCAGGAAAAAAGAAAGTAGCAGAGTGACTTGGTTGTTAAATTACATAAAATATTATTAACAAAGGGCAGAAATCAATTATTTACCATTTCCCAGAGTTCAAAATAAGAAATTAGCTTCAAAACAGCAAGAGTTAGTTATTTATTTTTGATTTTAATTAAATAATGGAACAAACTTCCATGAGGTTGTTGAATATATACAATAAGAATGATAATCATTAGTCTTATGATAACTTATCATAGACCTGCTTAATATACTTGAACCAGATGGCCTTATAAGTACCTTCCAGCTCAGAGTCTATGAAAAGGGAAAATTAAATTGAGGAAGATTTATTGCCAACCTTTTCCCCACCTTTGCAAGTAATATAAAACACTTACCAGCTGTTTTCAACCCTAAAAGTGTTTGCTGTCCAGGGCTAACAACCAGACTTGTTGGTGCCACAGTATATTTGAAATATCTCCAAAAATCGAATAAGGCATTAAGGCTGAAGAGAGATGCAAGGGCAAGCTCTGGAAGAAAACAATTTAAAAAAAAAAAAAAGAGTGCGGGGAGACCACTTATTGGGGGCACACAAAAACCCTCCATACTTTAGCAAATTAATAACGACAAAGTTGAACATTACTTTCTTATACCTCTTAATAGCTACCACTTAATGAATGTCTATTATATCTAGGACATTTACTAGTGAGTTTCAAAATATCACTAATCCTTACAATCTTGTACAATAAATATTTTCACCTTCATTTTAAAGGTAAATCAACAATCAATGAGAAGCCAACTGACTTTTATAATCGCACACAGCTAGTTATTAAAGCCATGATTCTAACTCAGGTCTGCAGATTCCAAAACCGTTGCTCTTCGACTTGCCATACCACCTCCCTATGACAAACTTTAGATTAACATGTATAAACTATGGAACTTATTTTAACATCCATAAGGATTCTTTATACCCCAGGACTATGGAAGCACGACAGGAGAGAGGAAGGCATCAACAGATTGGATATGTGAGCTGGTCTTGAAAGATGAAAAAACGAGAGCGAGGGCATTTCAGGAGAGTAACAAACAGAAAATCTCACTATGTCCAAACTTATTGTTTCTTCACAGAACTCATAATTACCTGAAACTATTGTTTATTAATTTGATTGTCTCCTCTACTAGAATGTTCCTTCCATAAGGACAGGGTTTTATTTTGTTCCCTTCCTCTGTATTCCCAGCTGTTAGAACACAGTAGGCACTGAAATATTTGTTGAATGAAAAAATGAATGCTAAGTTGAATTAAACCTAAAAGCAGTTTTTCATTGGTTGTAAACTGAAATTATAACGAAAATTAACTACTTACCAATATACCAGAGGGGCCAGTATGTCACATTATAATATGAACTAATCAATTTTCCAGTCCTGAAAAAATTAGAGTCTTTTCAATAACTTAAAAATACCAAAAATCAAAACACAAAAACCTGTCGATGGCTTCTTAAATTTTCATTTTTGGGGCTGATCAACTTACATTTCAGTGTATATCATTCCAGCCATAGATACATTTAGGAGCCCCCAGGCTAAAACCACTTTCCTAGCTTCGGTTTCTTTTCTCATCTTGATGGTCCTGTCAATAAGGGAAGCACTCGCGTTTGGCTCCCCTTGCATCTATTTGAAAACAAAAGACACAGGAATTAGTCCAAAGAAATTACTTCTCTATTTAAGAAATCAAATGTTGTGTCCTTTATAAAGGTTACAGTTATAAAGTTAACTAAAATTGCACTCACTTTGTCTCATCTTTAAAATGTCTTACCAAAACTTTCTTCGTTTTAATATTAGCATAGTAAAACAGAATGCTGAATTATACCTTCATTGGCATCATAGTGTAATCAACAGAAAACTGGTTGGTTATTCCAGAGAACAATTTAGTACTTCCAATAAATAAAAATGTCTTATTTTGTTATTTAAGGGCTGCGATTACATCGCAAATACTCCCTATTTTGTTTTTGGAGTTTGTCACAAGGACTAGGCAGAGGGCTAATTTCAGAAACTCAAAAGATCAAGTTTTGGGAGCAAATATTCCATATATACTATAAATCATAAAGACTCTTCTTACATCTTTATGCAGCAATCATTACTATTTACAACCTTAAACAACTCTACACCAGGAACGCTGCATGCTAGGGATCTCCGTTTTGTGTGCCAATAAAGTACAAGGATTTAAGTTTTACAAGGGCGGGCACCCAAGGTGTGAAGGGACTGAGAGACAGGGGGGAAAGTGTGCCTTAAGTTTTACTCCACGTTGGGTTTTATACTTCCTTTGTTTTGCTGGGCTCAACTCTTGTAGACAAGTGGAAAACTTGTTCTAGCAGTTCTACCCTTCCGGCCACCCAGCCCCCACATCCAAACTTCCCAGTCCGGACAGCTTCCCTCAGCACAAACTTTAGCTACCCCTATTGCTTCTGCCCGGGGGCTGGACCCCGGACAAATCAGCGGGCGCGGAATTTCCACAGCCCGCGAGAACTCCAAGTCCAGGAAACACAAAAGATGACCCCGAAAACGCACCATGCTCTCCTGCCGGAAGCCTCAGGCTCGCGCCACTCTCTACTGCACATGCGCGAAGCCGAGTGCTGTGGAAGAGGCGAGCGGCGGGCGAGGCTACAGTTACCGGAAGAACTGGGTAGTCTCTTCTCGCGAGAAGAGGAGGGAGGCGGAGGGACAGGTGGCTAGGAGCGTTACCAGGGAAACAGCTCTTGGATTTGTGGCTCCCACTGAGCTGCGGGGAGAAAGCTGAGCATCAAAATTCAGACCAGGTTCTGAACCCACAGTAAAAAGTAATAACTATAACAAACTGAATTTTGTATATATTAATATAATTTTAGCTTCCTTAGGGCATTTATGGACTCATATTTGTAAGCAGATTAAGCAGGGTGGCTAATTGTTGGATACAGAATGCATGATAATGTGTCCAGACATCATCAGTAATGACAAAACATTTCTTTCACCTGTGTTAAAACATTTGTCAAGAATTCTGACTCAACGTAAATTTTTAAATATCCGTGTAATGAGGGTGCTGCAGTAACAAGCAAAGCCACAATTTGTTTTATTGAAATTGCTAGTGGTTTTGAGGTTAAAAAATAATAACACGTTTTCCTGCATATTCTTTGGAAGGACTAATCCTAATGAAAAGGTTCATCAGGGAGTTGAGTTTGGTTTTATTTAACAAATACAAATGCCTATAGTGTGCCACTGGGCCAGCCGCGGGAATATAGAAAATACGAGTTCCCGGGTCACTGCCAGGAGGAGCTCAACCCCAGGGAGGCCGGCAGAAGCCATAGGTGGGCAGGTGAGGTGGACACGGTGAGCCCCAAGGAGGCAAGTCCAGCCCAGCCCAAGCTCCCAGAGAGCTTCCTGGAGGAGATGACACCCGCCCAAGGTAGATGGTCAACGGCCAGGAAGCGCAGGACCTGAGGACACGCAAGGCCCGGGGCCTCATTCTGCATATGGAGAAATGTGCCTCCTAATAAAATCATTAAGCCATGTCATAATAAGCTAGTGGATTATTACATCATGGATATCCAATGACTAAAGTTTTTCCTAAAATGATCCTGAGGTCAAATAGAAGAAAATGAAGTTTCCTCATGGTATTGCATAGTAATGAAAATCTGCAAGTTTGCTGGGCTCTTGATGATCTAACAGATTTTTAAGTGAGCTTTTTATCATTTTTAGATTGCCTTAGCAGCAATGTTATTTTGCTCTAGTTTTAGATTTAGAGATGAGCTAACTTGAAAATTTTTCAAAGTGAAAAGGTTCAATGTATAGTCAAAATTAGAATACCAGGTTCCCACCTCCCCCATGTCTGACTCTTTCCTAAGAAGAAATTGTAGACATTTGATGTAGTTCATAATAGGCACATGTATGTTATTCCTGCTTAATGTAATCTACAAGCTATTGTGCATTTATTCAAAGCTTAAAAAAGAATAGTACTGACCAAATTTGATAGACAGTTGGCATTTTATATTAGGGCTGCTATAACAAGATCTCACAGATAGTGTGGCTTGAAGAACAAAAATTTACTTTTTTAAAATTTTGGAGGCTGGAAATCCAACATCAAGGTGTCAGCAGGATTGGTTCTCCTGAGGCCAATCTCCTTGGCTTTCAGATGGCCATCTTCTTCTCCTGTGTCCTCGGATGGCCTTGTTTTCTGTGCTCTTGAATCTTGGGTGTTTCTTCCTCTTATTATAAGGATACCAGTTGTATTGGATTAGGGACCCACCCTTAGGACCTCATTTAACTTTAATTACCTTTATAAAGGCCCTATATCAAATACAGTCAAATTGGGGGTAAGGGCTTCAAATGTATGAATTTTGGGGAACACGATTTAGTCTGTAATACATTAGAACTGTATATCTTAATTTATTAATACAATGGTATACATACAAAAGAGACTGAATAAAAATGAGTGAATACCTTAGAGACTTAGATGTAAAGATATGAAAATACAATGTATATGATTTTTTTTTTTTTGAGATAGAGTCTTACTCTGTTTCCTGGGCTAGAGTGTCGTGGCATCAGCCTAGCCCACAGCAACCTCAAACTCCTGGGCTCAAGCGATCCTCCTGCCTCAGCCTCCCGAGTAGCTGGGACTACAGGCACGCACCACTGTGCTAGGCTAATTTTTTCTAGTTTTAGTTGTTTGGCTAATTTCTTTTTCTTTCTATTTATAGTAGAGACAGGGTCTCACTCTTGCTGAGGCTGGTCTCAAACTCCTGAGTTCAAGCAATCCTCCCGCCTTGGCCTCCCAAAATGCTAGGATTACAGGCGTGAGCCACCGTGCCTGGCCCAATATATATAAATTTTAAGAGAAAAAGATTAAGGCAGAATGCACCATATTGAGGTATGGGGGGAAATATCATAAACTTTCATAGAAGTAATTTGGATAAATCTTCCAAAAACCTTAGAAATCCAAGTAATCTTTGTCAGTTCCTGCAACAGTTGCTTTAGTATATGTCATAATAGGTTGCCAAGGAAGTTGTCATACATGATGGAGTGAAGTAGTTCCCAACATCTTCATCACTTTGAGCATGTTTTATTTTCTAAGCAAGAAACCATCATGGGAGATCTTTTTTCCTTGTTTTGGGAGGTGGATCCTCCCCCTATACCTTTAAGTTTTGCTATTCCAAATCAGGATTATGAATGTCGGAAGGAAGATTCTTGTGGGACAATAGGGAGCTTCCTGCTTTGGTATTTTGTCATTATATCGTTCCTGATGTTCTTCTCTCGGACTTCTGTTTGGGTAGGATATCCTTTTTCATTTTAACTAATATATTTACTGTATACTAGGGAATTTTTCATAAAATAAATTCACTTTACTTTGATGGAATTACCTTTTTGTTGTTGTTGTTGAGATAGAGTCTCATTCTGTTGCCCTGGTTAGAGTGCCATGGCGTCAGCCTAGCTCACAGCAACCTCAAACTCCTGGGCTCAAGCAATCTTTCTGCCTCAGCCTCCCAAGTAGCTGGGACTACAGGCATGTGCCACCATGCCCGGCTAATTTTTTCTATATTTTTAGTTGGCTACTTAATTTCTTTCTATTTTTAGTAGAGACGGGGTCTTGCTCTTGCTCAGGCTGGTTTTTTTTTTTCTTTTTTTGAGACAGAGTCTCACTTTGTTGCCTAGGCTAGAGTGAGTGCCGTGGCATCAGCCTAGCTCACAGCAACCTCAAACTCCTGGGCTCAAGCAATCCTTCTGCCTCAGCCTCCCAAGTAGCTGGGACTACAGGCATGTGCCACCATGCCTGGCTAATTTTTTCTATATATATTAGTTGGACAATTAATTTCTTTCTATTTATGGTAGAGACGGGGTCTCGTTCTTGCTCAGGCTGGTTTCGAACTCCTGACCTCGAGCAATCCGCCCGCCTTGGCCTCCCAGAGTGCTAGGATTACAGGCGTGAGCCACCACACCTGGCTGGAACTACTTTTTTTTATTAGAAATTATTTTATTTTCAGAAATGTGTGAGCATTGGTTAGAGGCTTTCCCAAGGAACTACTTTTTTAAAGTTTGTTTTTTAGGCCGGTGTGGTGGCTCATGCCTGTAATCCTAGCACCCTGGGAGGCCGAGGTGGAAGGATCACTCGAGGTCAAGAATTCAAGACCAGCCTGAGCAAGAGTGAGACCCCTGTCTCTACTAAAAATAGAAAGAAAGAAATTAGATGAACAACTAAAAATATATAGAAAAAATTAGCCAGGCATGGTGGCTCATGCTTGTAGTCCCAGCTACTCAGGAGGCTGAGGCAGGAGGATCACTTGAGCCCAGGAGTTTGAGGTTGCTGTGAGCTAGACTGACGCCATGGCACTCTAGCCCAGGCAACAGAGTGAGACTCTGTCTCAAAAAACAAAAAAAGTTTGTTTCTTAGTTTTAAAAATAATGCAATCTCTTGGCCGGGCGCGGTGGCTCACGCCTGTAATCCTAGCTCTCTGGGAGGCCGAGGCGGGCGGATTGCTCAAGGTCAGGAGTTCGAAACCACCCTGAGCAAGAGCGAGACCCTGTCTCTACTATAAATAGAAAGAAACTAATTGGCCAACTAATATATATAGAAAAAATTAGCCGGGCATGGTGGCGCATGCCTGTAGTCCCAGCTACTTGGGAGGCTGAGACAGAAGGATCGCTTGAGCCCAGGAGTTTGAGGTTGCTGTGAGCTAGGCTGACGCCATGGCACTCACTCTAGCCTGGGCAACAAAGTGAGACTCTGTCTCAAAAAAAAAAATAAAAAAAAATAATGCAATCTCATTCTAGAGAGTACAAGAATATGAAAAAGATGAAGAAAAAAATTTAAAACTACTGTTATCCTAGTTCCCAGAAAAAACCACTGTTAACATTTTGGAGTATGTCCTTCTACTTTTTTCCCTCTCTCTTCCCAATCTCTCTCTCTCCAGCTTTCTATCTTTGATCTTTCATGGTTTGCATTATATTGTATATATTTTCATATCCTGCTTTTAAAACTTAATAATATTAATACTTCTCCAAATTATTTTCATTCAGTAGCAATTTTAATGACTGTATAATTTTCTGTTTTTTGATTGTAGCATAAAAATTCTGCAATTTTGAAACATTTAGTTTGTTTGTAGTTTGTCCATATGTTATGTAATGCTGGGACAAACTTCCCTACTGGTCAATGACTTCCAAATTCTTTTTTGATAGAATACATGTAAGATTTGGGGGTTTTTGGTATGAGGCAATATACTTTCTACATAGAATAAGATGCAGAACTAAACAAAATAAAACTGAAGTCACCACTCTTGACACTGGAAGAAAATGCCATCTTCTTAAGAATGAGATATTCTACTTTATCAGGACTGTAATGCCCCCAACATATTATGAATAACCAAGCTCTTATAATTCGCTGACATGGAATCCTTGCTGGCCAATCCTTGCAGGCTGATGATTAAGCAAATTACCATCATTAGCATTATAGCCCTGGGCTGGCAGTGGTCAGTTAGACTTGGTGCTAGGTCAGCTCAGGATGGAGAGGAGAAAGTGTGTTAAGTCCATGCCAGCTGGATTCCATTATAACAATCAAAGACTTCTCCCCACCACCTCCTGGCCAAGAAGTTTCTTTTTTTTTTTCCTGGGCCAAGAAGTTTCATCTAAAGTCTAAATGCTTCTTACGGTAAATACTTTGGCAAAAGGAGATTTAGAGTTGTGATAGCTTATATGTGTCTTAAACTCCCTGGCTAAGTATATTGAATTTGCCTGGCCTGGCAAGAAAAGCTACTTTAGAAAATTAATAAAAAATTGAAATTGATCACTGGCAATTTCATCATGAAGACCACTTACAAGGTCTAAGCTATTCCTCTGCTCCCTTGCTTGCATCAGCTCTTTGGAGTCATAGAACTCTCAGCTTCAAGAACCTCAAGAGAGCATGGGGTCCAGCCTCCTGTCTGTCTATAGGCAAGTAAAATATCATTATCCCCCCCCACCGCCTTTTTTTATTGATAAGGCCCAAGGAAACTAAGTGACTTGTCTAATGTCACACAAGCGGTTAGTGACAAAGGGGGAATAGACCCAGATTTCCTGCCATATTATTTGTTTGCTTCAAAGTATAGTTTATAGTGTTGAACTAAACCTATTCAGTGCTGATTAAAACCCCAATTATTGTAGAGGTTTCGTCTTTCACTTTATACCCTGGTGGCAGCTACAATAGGCTGGCCTGCTTCTTCTGAAGGGCTCCAGATTTGAAATCTGAGAACCATATGAGAGCTAGTGAAGGAGGATGGATTTTTTCCTTCACTTTGAACTTCTTCATTTTCTCTGCTAAACTATGAGCCTTTATTTACAAACCTTGAAGTAATGGTAAAAGCATGATGGAAATATGGTGGTAATTATCCTCCAACATGAAGCCGGCTGGCTGATTTCCTCTGGATTTGCCACTTTTTAAGATGCATTTACTCTTTTGCTTTCAGAGACTATAAATACTATATTTAGTTTATATGTTTAGTGTTTATTCAGATTGCTAGTGCCAGTATTTTTCTGGACAATCCTAGCCCAAACTCCTTATTTTGCATATGTGCAAACTGTGCTTAGGAGGTGTTAAGTGGCTTGGTAAAACCACAGAGCTGGTTAGTGGCAGAGAGAGCCACAGCCCACATTTTCTACCCTGCCCTGTTTTCACTCACCAAGTCACACACAAAGTCAGTTAATAAAATGCTTTTTGCAACCACAGTTCATATGACTCCACTTAGCTTAATGCAAAATCTTTCTTTTGATTTTGTGGTTATGTTTTGATTTGACATCAACTGTGGAAGCTTTCTGTGGAAATGATATAAGCCTAATAAGTGTTTTTAACACTTTCCCCCCTCCATTACAAAAGACACATTATAGAAAATGTGGAAATTATAGGAAAGTATACAAAATGAAATAAAAATCACTCCAGATTATATAGAAATAATCAACTACTTTTAGGTTTATAAACATCCAATCTTTTAATAATCTTCCTTCTACATATTAAATTTTAAATATTTAAGCCCCACCCCATGATTTTTACAAAAGAGACATTTTAAAAGAAAACTCTGCTTGCAAGGTTTTCAGAGAAGGCTTATTATAACCAAAAAGTGAAGAGGTACCTTATTAGAGATACTTGCCTACCATTGTTGAGATCAGATATTAAGAATGAGTTAAGGATCTTAGATTGCAGTTATAAATACCCAAGTATGACACTTTTCAACCCAAAGGAAGTTTGACTTTCTACATAAAATCATTTTTTTCTAATTGTAGACAATTTAAAAAAATTAGAAGGAAAAAAATCAGTTTTATACCTTAAAGCCAACTGTTGCTACTTTTATATGTTTAAAAAAAGAAAATTTTATACATTTTTGTAAGGGTTTTTTTCTTCATATTTTTAGCTAACTTGTGATTATGCTGTATATAAAAATCTGCATCTTGATGTTTAATCCAGTGTCACATATTTCCTCATGACATAATTGTATTATAATTTTTACTGCTATGTATCATATGATTGTACCATAATTTACTTAATCATTGTCTAGTTTTGAATTTTGAATTTTGAATGTCATCCTAATTACACTGTAATGAATATTTCTGTGCACAAATCTTTCTCTCTTTTGGAGGTTACTTCCTTGTAATAGATTCCCAAAGGAAGAATTATGTGTCAAAGGTGTTAATGAAAATTTCTAAAATTTTTGATACATTCTGAAAGACTTATATATATGTACCTTTTGGCAGAACCATTTCAGCATCAGAAAGTGGGATGCTAATCTGAAAAATGGGACAAATATATTTATGGAGTAATGGGGCAGCATATTTGAAATTGGAACTATTTGAAGAAATTCATTTCTTCTGGATGCCATATTCACAAATAACATGTTATGGTTGCATTTTGAAGGAAACTTTCTGAAGGAGTAAGGAGATATTAAGTCCATGAATTCAGTTAAAGATCTTAGTGTATGTATATGTCACATAGTAGACATCTTACTTAAAGAACTGTCAATAATGTGACCTGATCAAATGTCCTTAAAAATTAATTTTAAGCTAATCTGAGTACTATAAATCTGTTTTTAAATGCTATTTCTCTGGAATTTAAATGGGTACAGGGAAACTTTATAGCCTGTAGCTCCTTATCAGTATGACTTTCTCTCTAGTCTTTGTTCCATTTTTCTTGGTTCAAAACATTTTGATAGATTCTGCTATCAAAGCATGGTTTTATTGGGCAGCAGAAGTAGAATCACTATAAACAGAAACTCAATTAGTACTTATTCAACTTATTATTTAACTCAATAAGCACTCATTTAAACTCAATGTTTAAAATTAAACATTGTCAAAGGGCCTAAGCAATAGTATTTCTTAACAAGTAAATAGATATTAGTGAAAAACAACTGAGATCACTCTTACTAATCTATATTTCCAAAACAGATGTCTGAGAATAAAAAGGATGAAGACAGTGGGACAAGCACTTCAGTAAGTAAAGGTGAGAGCCAGTGCATATTTAGTATTGGACTGGGAGGAGAGAAATATGTGCTGAATGTGGAACATGAACAACAGAGTAACAGTCAAGAGTGTCATAAGCTCTTTACAGCACGGATGTTTAAAAAAAAGAAAGAAAGAAAAAAAATAAATGTTGTGAGGTCTCTTCACACCAGTGAAGGCCCGTTCGGTGAGCTGGTTGCTTTTTGACTCCCTAGTGCAGAGGAATGCCTTAGCTGCCTTAGCAGAGGCCCTAGAAGCTATGAATTACTGGTAGGTAGAGCTCAAGCTCTCCTTGCATTCCTCAGCACTCTCCTTTCACATGGCTTGTCCTTCCTCCATTAAATTTAAAATATTTAGGTCCTCCACCCCCAATGCATTTTTTAAAAAGAGATATCTTGAAAGAGAACTCCACTCTCAAGGTTTTCAGAGAAGGGTTGCTATAACCCAAAAAGCAAAGAGGTACCTCATTAGAGATACTTGCCTACCATTGTTGAGATCAGCTATTAAGAAAAGAATGAGTTAAAGATCTTAGATTGCAGTTACAAATACCCACGTGTGGCACTTTTCGACCCAAAGGAAGGTTGACTTTCTACATAAAATCATTTTCATGTAACAACTTTCATTATTAGTGCTTTTACAGGCTTATAGGTTCTATACAACATCTTTTTCAAGAACCTGCAGCAGTGGTGTGCTGGTAGATGTTTAACAACTGGCTTTCCAAAATTATGTGTTTACATATATTTCTTAAAAATTTTACTGATATAAATGATATGTATCACATGATTTATAAATAATAAAATATACAATACTCTTTATGGCAAATTCCATATAGCAAACTGATTCTCACAAAATACTCTCCTTGATTTTTGCCAGACCCTTGCATCCTTAGCCAACCATGGTTGCACTTAATGAACAAGTGTGGTTCCAGCATGAATGTTATTTTCCTCTAAGTTAAGGAGTAGGATCAAAGTGAAACAGAAGATGTATGGTGGAACTTAATTTGGTTGTCAATGATGTGAGTGACTTCTTTCCTGAAATGCATAATAGTTTTAGAATACTGGAAGAATGTTTCCTCATTTTTGAGGTAGTCACAAGGTAGTGGCTACAGGCATGGCACTGAAATGTAATCTGCATTAGTAACATGTTCTCCATCATTTTCTTAAGCCTAGGTAGGCAGTCAACAAAACCATACATCAAGCCCTGATCTTTAGTGTTTACTAATTTTCATGATATAATACCCTTACTAAAGCTGTGGGGTTTTTTGTTTTTTTGAGACAGGGTCTCACTCAATTGCTCAGGCTAGAGTGCAGTGGTGTCATCATAGCTCACTGTAACCTCAAACTCCTGGACTTAAGTGATCCTCGTGTCTCAGCCTCCTGAGTAGCTGGGACTACAGACATAGGCCGCCAAGCCTAGTTAATTTTTTTATTTTTTGTAGAGACAGGGTCTTGCCATGTTGCTCAGGCTTAAAGCTGGTTTTTTTTTTTTTTTTTTTTTTTGAGACAGAGTCTCGCTTTCTTGCCTAGGCTAGAGTGAGTGCCATGGCGTCAGCCTAGCTCACAGCAACCTCAAACTCCTGGGCTCAAGCGATCCTCTTGCCTCAGCCTCCCGAGTAGCTGGGATTACAGGCACAAGCCACCATGCCCGGCTGATTTTTATATATATATATTAGTTGGCCAATTAATTTCTTTCTATTTTTATGGTAGAGACGGGGTCTCGCTCAGGCTGGTTTTGAACTCCTGACCTTGAGCAATCCGCCCGCCTCGGCCTCCCAGAGTGCTAGGATTACAGGCGTGAGCCACCGCGCCCGGCCTTAAAGCTGGTTTTAAGCCAGGAACATTATATCACTGGACGTGGAGTTGGGAAGAGGTGAGAAGCTGCACACTCCTACATAGTGTTTCAAACATCCAGATACAATGGGCTGAAAAAACTTCAAGGGCATACAGCATAATAAAATGGAGCAAGATAATTAGGAAGTGATGGGTTTCGAGTATTTATTATCTTTATATTTAGCAAATTGATTTTATTGTAAGTTTGTATAATTTAATTTTTGATACTAGCGATGTTTAATCATCTCACAAAATTTCTCAAAATGTATTAGCTCTTGTGAGCCAACTCCAGCACATCACTAGCTTAAGAAAAGATTTGCCTTCCTGCTATCCAAATCACATTCATATACACACTTGAATCTTTAAGACTTCAAAGGAAAAAACATCCTTCTCTGGAAAACTTTAGAGATCTTTTCCTTTGATCTTATATCCAGGGTTCCACAAAGCTTCAAAAGTGATATGTCAAGCCTCTAAGCTCTCTGGGCTGTAGGAGATGGGGTGTGGTGCTGGGAAACGCAGTCAGCTGCCAGCACTTGCAAATGACTGGAGAAAAGTAGGGGCTGGACGACTGGCCACTAAGAGTGAGCCTGCACACATGGGATGCATGGAGTAATATGAGGTTCCAGTAATCTACAACTTGTACCTAACTTGTCAATTTGTTTTGTTGGTTGTTAGCAAGCAAAAATACTTCCCATAAACGGCAAAGCAAAGATGCTGCCTGGGACAGTTCACAAATGATGAAGAAACCAAAGCAGAGCCAATTCACCCCTGTAACTGACTCAGAAGTGGCCTTGGTCAATGCCTATCTGGAACAGAGACGAGCCAGGCGCCAGTCTCAGTTAAACCAGGTCAATCAAAATCCACAAGACAGTGACACTACTGAGTGTGACAGTGAAGATTCTAACTCGGGGGCTTCCTCGTGGAAAGAGAGTGAGAGTGAACACCACCCATCACCAGACTGTATGAAGAGGAGAAAAACAGCTCAGAGGCAAAGGAATCTTGGAAATTACCAAATCAGAGAAAGGCCCTGCCTCCACTGCAAAGCCCTGAGGACCAATGAATGGTTGACCCGCCATTTCCTACAAACACCCCCAATGAAGGGGGAGCCTCAAGAAGAAAATCCCATACCTGACATTAACACAAAATTCAGTAAATTTTGAATTTTATCAAGTCCTTACTGTACTTGAAGCCAAATGAAAGAGATGAATAAAACACGAAAAATCACCAGAGCTCTAGGTGAGGAGACTTTTATGATAAAGTCTTTCTACTAACAACAAAAACATACTTGGAACCCAAGAGGTAAAATTTCAGACAATTCTTTGTCCAAAAAAAGGCCAGCAAATTTGTGTATGGCACCACTGGAACACTGAAGATCTGTATCTACTGTGACTGTTTTTTTATTCGAAAGAGCACAAGACAGTTTATGCCTTGAGTGTATGTATTTTGCTTATATCTGTAAAACAAATAAGAAGGCTCTTTGAAAATATATTATTTGTGTTGAAAAACTATTTAAATTTATTCATATGTTTTGATTATCTGACTGAATGAACCAGGTGAAGCTGGTTGGAATAGAATTATGCTATCCTCTCTAGGTTTCTGTTTTCAGGTGACTCTACCAGAGCAGTATTGCTACATGTGTCAGCTAGGGGCTGGCGAGGAAGAGGAGCTCAAGAGCCTGGAATAAGACCTCATTCCTAGAGTAGGGAGGGGAGGCAACAGGACCCTGAAGGGCACCTGGGTTGTGGGCTGTCCATAGTTGTTGTCCAAAGGGCATGGCACATGTTAAAGACAAAATTATTCTGACACATGTTAACCCAATAAGGGAAGACTTTATTCAAGGATATTGTAATAGAGGTCAACTCTACTGCAATAGGGAATATTAATCCAGCTCAACCCCCAAATACAACGGGGGCAAGTGGGAATTTATAGCCAGGGAGCAGGATGAAGGCATCTGAGGATGGAAAATTACTAAAAGTAGGATTCTTGCTAAAACTGGGCCAAAGAAAGGACAAGGCCAGGGTAGAGGCCTAATTGAAAAGAGGGCTTGGGGGAGCCTGATTGAAGTTTGGTCAAAGAGAGAGTCTTTGTCAAATTAGCAAGTTAGCTTTGTCACATTAGCCATAATCCAGGCACAATTAGGGCTGGGTCTTACAGGTAAGTGGGAACACCAGATGTGGGGAATTCAAGCAGACCTAGATAGATGGTTGGCCATTCTGGAGATCATTCTTTTGTCGGATGGCAGTGTTACCGAAAATTTGGCACTTGTCCTTGAGGCTACGAGAACAAGTGGTTTGAGGAGAAGGAAAGAGGAATTTATTAATTTGCCAGCAAATGAGGAGGATAGAGACTTCTGTCTGGAAAATGCCCTTGTCCTACTAATAAGCAGAAATACAAAGCTTTTAAAGGGGTGCCACTTAGCTTCAGGCAATTGCTGTTCAAGTGTAGTCCATCCCATTTCTGGGGAAGACAATCTCCTAACCCTCCTCTCCCCAGACCTCTGTGACCTCTAACTACCTGGGAGGCCCAGCTGGACCTCTAAAATTTTTTTTTTCCTCTTTTTTTTTTTTTGAGACAGAGTCTCACTCTGTTGCCTGGGTTAGAGTGCCATGGCATCAGCCTCACAGCAACCTCAAACTCCTGGGCTCAAGGAATCTTCCTGCCTCAGCCTCCCAAGTAGCTGGGACTACAGGCATGTGCCACCATGCCCGGCTAATTTTTTCTCTATATATTTTTAGTTGGCCAATTAATTTCTTTCTATTTTTAGTAGAGATGGGGTCTCGCTCTTGCCCAGGCTGGTTTTGAACTCCTGACCTTGAGCGATCCTCCTGCCTCCGCCCCCAGAGTGCTAAGATTACAGGCATGAGCCACCTGCGCCCGGCCTGGAACTTCTGCCTGCCCAGTCTGGGTGGGGTTGAGCCATCTCCTGTAGCACAAAGAACAAAAGACATTACCCTTCCTCTGCTGACCACTGGCCTGAGACAGGGATGCAGGTTTTGGTCCCCAGTAAAGAGTGGGAGATGTTTTAAAGAGACAGAAAATATTTTTGCTGTATTTTTCCCCCTCTGGCCATGTTTCCCACTGTCAATATTACCCTTCCATATCTATGGGAGGAGGGGTGACTACTCTGTTACAGCTGGGATATAAAACAAAATCCAGATCCCAAAGGAAAGGGATGGCAAGGACAAGATAAGCAGCAGGGATCATGGTCACAGAGCTAGAGTTCAAAGAAGGGCTTAAGTCTTGGGTCAGGGTTTGGGTACTATATGTGGTTAAGACAACAACCTAATATTAAGGACAGAGCCTTTCATGGGAGACAGGAAGGGGATGGGAACAGAGACCAGAGGCTTGTGACTTTGGGCCAGGGTCATTCCTGGTAAGAGCAGATGCCTTAACTGATTGCCACTAAGAGACCTGGGAGGCACTGTGGGAGCCCCAACCACTGGGACAAATCCAGTAGGGTCTAGGACATGTGGTAACATTTCTGAGCCTGTCTGTGGAAACTCTGTCTTGTTCCCATTGCCCCAGGGTTAGAATAGGTCTGAAAGCACAGGTGAAAAGCAGGACCACTTGAAGATTCAGCTCAGGCATCAACTTTCCACAAAGACTTACTTTTCCTTACTCTGACAACCTCCTCCACTTTGTTTTCTCAGGCAGAACTCACCTTCCCTCCTTTGTGCTGCAGTGTACCCTGAAAAGTTCTCTATCTCAGCACCGATAACAATGTGATGAATGTGTTTGTTTACAATTCTCTGTCCGCTGTATATATTTATCCACCCTTAAAGGTAGAGCCTATGATCTGTCATCTTTGTGTCTCTGTAGCCTCGCACATTGCCAGACAACATGACATAAATAATGCAGCTGAATCCACTCACAAAGGGATTCGTGAATGCAAAAGTGGGAGAGAGCTGGGGAAACAGGCAGAGGAATCAGGGCAGGGGCCGCTATCCACAACTTAGTGAATAATTCTGATATTTCCAGCTTGATAGGATCAAGATGCTTAAATCATTCTGTTTATCCAAGTAGTACCCTCCCTCGCAAAACAAAACAAAAGAACCAAATTCAAAACATGGTAGTAAATTGCAGGGGCAGGACTTAGAACCAATTCATCTGGCTTCAGAGTGTGGGCTCTTAATTGCTATGATCTTAATCATTCTGTTGTTGAAACTGCAAGGGGGTTTCAGTCTAGGGACAGTTGCTGGTCACACAAAGATCCAAGTATTGCCAAGGAAGGAAGGAATTTTTTTAATACAACAGACATCTTTTTTTTTTTTTTTGAGACAAGAGTCTCGCTTTGTTGCCCAGGCTAGAGTGAGTGCCGTGGCGTCAGCCTAGCTCACAGCAACCTCAAACTCCTGGGCTCAAGCAATCCTTCTGCCTCAGCCTCCCGAGTAGCTGGGACTACAGGCACGCGCCACCATGCCCGGCTAATTTTATATATATATATTAGTTGGCCAATTAATTTCTTTCTATTTTTTTATAGTAGAGACAGGGTCTCGCTCAGGCTGGTTTTGAACTCCTGACCTTGAGCAATCCATCCGCCTCGGCCTCCCAGAGTGCTAGGATTACAGGCGTGAGCCACCACGCCCGGCCTACAACAGACATCTTGTAGGGAGAACAGCAATCCATCTCTACCAATAACAGAGTTCATGGGCTTTTAAAGGAGTGGAGATGTGCCCTGGGGCAGGGCGTGGTAACTAACAAGGGGCTACATGGGTTGGGAGCATGTTGTGGGGGATGGTGAGTCTTGGCATCAGGAAGTCTACCCAGGGGCCTTCAGGATCTCAGTTCCTTTTTCCTGTAGAAAATCCACCATCTCTGGGAAATAACTCACAAGTTGATGTAGTTAGTTAAAGGAGATGATTATAAAAAAAACCATAGGGGTCATTGAAATTTGTTTATCGGCCAGTTACAATTATTCTCTGCAGATAGAAGCTACTAACTAAAAGGTAAGTTAATCATCACTTCCCACACAGGCATAAGTGATGTCCAAGCAGATACAAACTCACCAGAGTCTATTGGAAAAGGACCATGGCTGTTTTCCAGATGACGGAGTAAGTCTCCAAATGTTTTGCTTGTAGATCTAGAATATAATCCAATGACACTATTACCCAAAGAGTCATTTATATCAAAGACTGCTACTTTTGCTGGTCTCAACCATGGAGCTTGAAGAGACAAGAGTTTGGGGTAGAACTCTGCCTATAGGAAGAAGAAACCAGGGTTGAGTATGAGGGGATTATAAATCCTATAAATATGAGATTAACCAAGATAATCTGTGAGAACATGAAACCAGAAACAAGGGCTGCATATAGCTGGGAAGATATTCAAAACCAAGGACAGAATTGCACCAAATCAAGGGGATAAGGCAAGGACATGGTAAGATGAGGAGCAAAGCATGGCCAGGTGTACTGGGACTGGATCAATGGGTGAGGTGGCAGATGGCTCATGAAACCAGGTCTGCAGGCACTAGTCACGCTGGACGTTGCTTTTGTGCAGAGTCTGGTGTGGGCTTTTACGGTGGGACCCCTGTATTGCAAAACAATTCCCTCAGTTCTTCAGTCCCTCCTTGCTGGCTGGGATAGACCAGGTCTTCTCTGTTTTGTTTTTTGTTTTTAGAGAGAGGGTCTTGAGAGCACCCAGGCTAGAATGTAGTGGCAAGATTGCTCACTGTAACCCTGAATTCCTGGCCTCAAGGTAACCTCCTGCCTCAGCCTCCCAAGTAGCTGGGACTACAGGCATATGCCACCATGCCTGGCTAATTTAAAAAAAAATTTTAAGAGATGAGGTCTTGTTATGTTGCCCAAGCTGGTTTTGAAATCCTGGGCTCAAGTGATCCTCTTGCCTTGGCCTCCCAAAGTGCTGGGATTACAGGTGTGAGCCACCTTGCCTGGCCCCCCCTCTGATTTTTATTGTTGAAGCCTATAATCTGTTTGGGTGGGTTGCTTGAGGCGAGATGTGGGATTCTCTGGCTTGCCTCCTCTCTGTGGGCCATCCATGCAGCAAGCATCAGACTGACCTCTGTGGCAATGTCCACATACATAGAGTACCACAATTCTTATCAGGAACTGAGATGCAGGGAACTATGGGGTGCAGGGAAGAGTCCAGCTGAGATGGATATGGGGAAGAATGAGGGTACACATAGGAGGTGTTTGGAGAAGGGTTGGGGAGCAGAGGAACTGAGAACTGTGGACTACAGGGTAGACAGTCTCAAAGTCTGACCTGGTATCTGCCCTCTAGGATTGGGTGAGGTGGTTTGGATGGACGGAGAGATGAGCCAATAGGTTAAATCTAACCAATAATTACAGCAACAATAACAGCAATATTGAAAATAAGTGGCTTGGCACAGTGGCTCATGCCTATAATTCCAGCATGTTAGAAGGCCGAGGTGGGAGGATCACTTGAGCCCAGGAGTTCAAGGCCAGCCTGGGCAACATAGCAAGAGCCCCGTTTCTACAAATAATTTAAAAATTAGCTGGGCATAGTGGCATG